TATAGAATAGTGACCAGAATTTAGGATTGCTTTGGTTCCACTTAGACGCTACTCAAATGCCAAGACAAACCCCACTCGTGACAGCACAGCATTTTCGAAGTTATCGAGTGTGTCGGCATGATCCAGGAGGAAGCTTATACACTCGGTTACCAACTCGTTTCTGAACATATTGTCAAAATAGCGGTCCTTTTCTATCAGTACGGTCAGAAAAGTCAGAAGAAGTTTTATAGACGAGTTTTTTTTTGTTAGCTCTTGTCAGCAAAACAAAAACTGGATAGGTCAGGTGGTTGCAGTGGTCCCGCTATGGCCTTCCTATTCTAATCGAATGACCCCTTAGCTCTCGCGTTTAAATAAACACGCGCAGTAATATTGATTTCCTCGAAACAATATGCGGTAGACCGGACTGCCAAAATAGCTGATTTATTTCAAAGCATGTGTCGTTCGTTTTTGCCGTATGTTACGGTTAACTTTTTGAGCACACTTTGTGTTGAAAAAAACTCAATGACGACTTCTTAGGTTCCCCTAAGATCCTGGATTAAATCAAAGAAATTTACAATATTACCTTGCACAGCTAAAGTTTGTTTCAGCATTCTGCCAGCCTGATTGGCGTTTGGGTTACCCTGAACGAGGAAAGTTCTAGTTGTATGCATGTCCTTTTCAAAAATCTTAGGCTCTAATGAGAAATTCTAAACTCTTTCATTTTAAAACGAGAAAATAAAGCGTAATCGGTGTAATTTAGTAGTATAATTTAGTCAACCTACATAGGTCGTATTACTTATAGAGTGAACTTTCGAAGCGTGCACGTCCCCAGTTCTTTGGTCTGTGCAGCAACTCTCACTTATTTTTTTAAGTTCATCATAAATTTCAGCTTACAGAAGTAATATTCATATTGATGCTCTTTGAAAACAATGCTCTATTTACTGAGGCTCGGCCATCTCTCAGTAATTGATTGGGAATTTTACGATACTCCGTATAAGCTACAGGGAAGGGTGTATGTTCACACATAACCTATGACGCTGTCGGTAAAAAAACACGAGACGAGCTGACATATTGGTTCTAGTTGGTCCGCCGTTAGTGCCGCCGCTGCAACTGCATCTGTTCCTTGCCTAGCGACAAATTTTGTGTAACAGTATGTACGCATAAATATTCATTGATTCATTCGTGTTAAGGGTGGCCGTTGGATGATAACGATCATGACGGAAGTGTCATTGGCGAAGACTGTGATGATCGTCTATCAGCGCTGGATCGGCGATCCGCGATTCGCTATTATTTTCTGGCGAAGGCCGAGCGTGCTTTGACATATTATTGTTTCATGTGTTTATATTATTCATATCTGCAGTGCACAAACACGGAGATACAACCGAACGTAATGCATCATTAAGCAACACTGTAGGTGTCCGTAGAGGATTGACGTGGCCAGCGACACCCACAATACACGTATTGGGTTGTCAGCAAGTCATAACCACATACAAGACCAACGCGTATGCATGAATCAGTATAAAGTATGGAACGTTTTTTGTCCCGGCTGCTCTTGCAGGTATATCCTGCATTAGACAGATGAGCAGAGATACTCTCTAAGTTTCCAATATTCTGTCTAATAGACACTCAAAATGAGTCTAGCAATACGTATTCAATCTTGTCCCTACATAAACATAGTAACACAGGTAATTCACTTAATGGAAGGAGCGACAGTGAAACAAATACGACAAAGGTCGCCGTCATGAGCAGCAACAAAATGTCAGCAGATCATCATAATGTCATAATTTCAGAAGAATGTAGAACATAAGCGGACAAAACATCGAACGAAGGCAAAAATTGACAAAAGGCATATGGCGATAATAAATTTTCTTTTTCAAAAACAAAATACAGAACACGCCTATGCAGTTCTTCACACACACACACACACATATATATGAATATTGAAGTGTGTAGAAGGAACAGAATGCAGATGGGGCAATCCTGTTTATCTTTATTCGTCCGCCGTCGTTTTGTATTTATGGTGGTCGCCTAAAAAGGAGAAGCAATTTTTTCGGAGTTTACATAAATATTTAGTTATACATCATGTAGCTGTTTGAGAATCTCTTTTCACATAATACTTATTGGGGATACGCTTGAATTTGGCCGCGCAACACTCAGTTCCCAGAAGGCGAGTTCTGAACCCCATTATTTCCTGTTATCCTTTAGCTTTCTATACAAATAATACTCTTCCAGACACAGCTTATGGCTTTGACATTATATTGGAAGTGCGTAACATCATACATCTGTTTTGCACTGTACCCATAGCTCTTACGGAAGCTGGCTTACTATATCCTATAATACAAGAGCAGTGCAGCAGTACCTTCAGTCAGAGTGAGCCCTAGCCAGTTAATCACTCACTGTTAATAGGGTTCAATACACAGTTTTAGCAAAGCCGATTGAGTAAACCTGATCATCTATGCGGTCCTGGCTCACACTGCGCCTGTAGGCCTAGCTACGAAAGTTATTTAGCATAAGGATGGCAGAATTAGTTTGTACGACTAGGTGGGGCAGGTGGCGTACTTAGGTAGAGGCTGTAGACCCTATGTAAACTTGTGACCTAGCTATTCTGATTCAGTTATGATTTAGTTTGCCCCAGTCCGTTCCATCTGGCGGCTACCCGAACCCCACACACTTTGCTATAGCACGCAAAGGTTGCCACTGAAAAAACCGACACAAAGGCACGCATACATCCATCCGGCCAGAACGTTGGCGGCGTCGTTCTGCAATGGCCCTGGCGGCCGCGACGGAGCGGCAAAGCCACATGGGTCGCAACCTGTTCCACAGACAGGTAATAACCCGAGAGAGGTGGTTGTATACTTGACCTGCAATGAGCTGCCTCCCGGAGACGATAAACCGTCCAAGTCCAGGCACTCTTCTGCCATTAGCAACTTCTAGTTCAAGCTGCTAATGATGCTATGAGCTCAATACAGAGCTTTCGTTCTACGTCGGCAGAACGAATTTAACGATTGTCACATCGTTACTTGCGTGTAGCATTTTGTCCATCTGTCGCCGCCAGCGCGCCTTTCGCCAACACCGTTGCCAACAAACTCAATCCTCAATAGTTCCTGCTACAACCCCTGGTAACCGGGGGACTAAAATTCACCTTCTGAGGGACGAGCCGATTAGCAGAGAATTGGGCTCGCTGATCATGTGGGCTCAAATTAGAATTTTTCACACTTTCTTACCGGAAACTTTCAGAGTTCGACATCTCCAAATACCCGCTACAGCCCCACTAGCCGTTAACGTTTCCTATCGGATCAGGCGTATGTTTTGCTGGCGGACAACACAAGAAAGAGAGAAGGGACCCGCTTAGTTTACTGACTCATCCATGTGAGATGGATGCGCAATCGGGTCTTTAAACAACTCGCTAAATAATATATATAGCTATGACAGAATCTAGTTCGACAGAATTGGTTAGACAAAAATAACAGACAGCTAGATAATAATAAAGTTAATGACAGGTTAAAACCACTATATATTAATCTGCGAAGTACTGCTCAACGCACATACTAAAGTGTGGTAGATTTGACCGCAGTTGAGCAAATAACTCTAGGTGATTTCTCAGCAGTGGAAACTATACACTATTCTCATATGACCTTTACGTTTAAAGTCGTCAAAAAAATTAACTCCCGTCAACTTTCAACTTGCGTACTAAATGCCCGTGTTTGGTGTAAGTTCAAAGCCTGCAAGGTTTTCCGTACAAGGCCTTGGATGGATTGGCGCGAGTTTAGCGATTCATCCATTGTACTGAAGTTGCATCGACGTATATGCATTTCCCGCTACGTTTTTCCTTACCTTCAACGGAAAATTCATAAAACTCTAGAAATCACTGGATGACAACAGTGTCAGCTTCTCGCTAAATTAGTTTTATCTCGTACGATTCAGTAAATGCAGGGATTATTCCATTTAGCAACATTGGGTACCTGTTTTGTGCAGTGTTTCAACCTTCCGCACAGCAGTGCTTCATCACAAAATTATTTTCGATACTTCTTGATATTGACTATGATCAGAAATTGGCTACGACAAATCCTGAATGTGCTTTTACTATACAACATATATCATAGAAGGCTCGGTAAATCAAATAATTCGACAAAATCACTGAACCTCAATTGGGGAGCGAAATCTAAACTTTATGGATGTGAGCGCCATTCCTCAACTACTCCGTAACCAGTCAGTTGTTTGCCTTTATTTTCTTATTTCATGAAATGTAAAAATTTATTTTTCTAAAACCACAGAGCTAAGGATGAAATTGTAATCCAGATAAAAACATTGTATCGCCGTAGACAGCTGTAGCTATCACTTGACATGCGAACGACAAATCGGAGAAAAGAATATTAAATGATGGAAAAAAATGTAACGTTACGTGCAAATGCCATTGGATACTTAGAAAGCCTGTTAACACAAATGCTCTTGCAGTTGGATATAATGCTTTTGAAAAGGCTAATATCAATATCTAAAATGTTACGAACAGGGGGTACGAGGATTTTTACATAGATCAAACGTGAATGCATAGCGAGCTCATATTAAGAAATTGAATAATCTGAAATACCACGAGCTTTATGCTGTACGCAACACATGGAATGTGGTAAATCAATGAAAAATGATCCTACAATCAAGTAATAAAAACTGTTTCTTTATGAGTCCGTGTCATTTTTTAATTCTTTCTCTTCTAAAACTATACGTTTCATCCAATAGCTTTAAATTTGACTCAGGCCTAATTTCAAATTAAAATTCAAGGACCGGTTCGAAAGCAACAATAGTTTACCCAATAAAATAGGCCAAAGTATATCTCTTACAACTAACCTAATTGATGATGACCTCATTTATCTACGCAACTAATTAAACAGACGCGTATATATCTTCATTTTCTTGTTTATTCAGGCTAGGCTGCATTCGTTATTACTTTGAACCAGCTCAATTACCTATTTTAACCTTTGCTAGCACATAAGCTAACAATTAATTCACAAGGCATAGACGTTTTCTTTTGCGTTTATTTGGCATCAATATAAATACAAAAAGCGCAATTGATTTATAATAACGACTTGTACAATTCATCAGGTCGTGCATGTATCCGTAGTAGATACGGGAACACGCATTCCATTCAGCTGTCAGGCTTCTTCAGTTGAGGCTAATCTTCATCCTGACTGAGAACAAATAATGGTTGCACGATGATTGAGGCAATCTTCTGTAACGAAGTATGTAATCGTTTAAAAGCTACACAGCACCAACAAGGAAGACCGGAACACCAGCGAACGCGTAAAAATAAATGCACATTTTGGTACTGAAAAATCATTTACCTTGCTAGATGAAAGGCAACACTAAAGTAGTAATATATATATATATATATATATATAGGACTGTCAAAAAAGCTTTTAAGCTAAAGCTGAAACAAATCTTTTGTATTTCAAAACACTAGTGAAGTAGATACGTGCACTTCAATTAATGACCTTCTGCCATTTTTCTGCTAATATCATAATTCCATCACTGTCGTTTCTAAGCAAAAAGCTGCTAGAAGCGATTCTTGCACCCTTCTACTGAAACTAAATTAACACCATTATCAGAGTTCTGCATAGACCGAAACAGATTACAGTCTGATGATGCAAGATCCGCGCTATTCTGCAGATGTGTTAAAATATGCTATCCAAATTCTCTCAATTTTTGCCTGCTGGCTAAAAATATATGTGATTTGGGATGGTGGCATCGTTATGATGGAAGACGACGCCTTTCCTCTTCGCTAGTTCCGGTAGATTTTTTAAATGGCTTGTTGACAGTAGGGTTTCGATCGTTCTGCCGAGCAGTAACTCATAATGCACGATTCCTTTCCGATTTCACAAAACACATAACATCACCTTTCTTGGGGTTAATCTAGGCCTTGCCACGGATCACTTTTTTACATTAATATTGTATGTATTCTGCATTTTATTATCCGTGATCAATCGCCTTACAATTCGATTTCGTTGCATATTTATAGAGTTTCGCGTGGCATACAAAAATTAAACTTTTTAGAAGCCAAATTCGTTAGAAAATCGCCAAAAAGTGAATATTTAGTTCCGTTTTTCCGTAATAGCTTCATGATTTTTTCTGAAATTCCTCGAATGAAAGCGGCAGATCCATCCTTTGGGCCGTTTCTCCCACTGACACGTCTTTACTATAAACAGCACATATTTCTTTCTCTTGCGCAGAACTTGTGCCTTTTTCGTAAAAAAACCATAATATATATATGAATTTTGTGCAAAACATTCGATCTTAAGGCACTCCAACAACTTCAGCATCGCTACTACTGCTAAATATAGGCTTTCAAGTGACACTGATCCCGGTCCGACGACCGCAACGGCGCAACCGCTTGAAACATGTAACTTAGCAGCCATCTAGGTAGGAAAGCAATCAATAGTTTTTCAACAACGTAATGCAACTGGAACCTTCTAAGAAAATACCATCTGGGTCTCTCTTCTTATGTCTAAACTGCTATCAAATTTAACGACAAATTCGATACCATCGAAGATGCAGTTCGAGCAATCGCTAGCGCCTTATTACATATTTAGATAAAATAATATTAATACGTAACAAATTCTGTAAAAAGCAATATTGTCCAAGTTGTTCGGCAACGTAAATAGAACCATTTCAGAGCTCAGCTCAACGGCAACGCTCGTCAATGAAGGCAACAGCAGAGCAACGCCGACTATAGTGACTATAACGAGAGTATGAGCAACGAACAGTTGATATCCACCCCATAAATATTTGCACCGCAATTGACAGACAGAGCGATCCATGCCGACAGTTCGTCTTCTTTTCTATTTAAAACAACTAATTTTCCTTGAAAACGGCTTGCAGCAAACAGCCAGGGTACATATTCCACCAAGGAAAATATTGCGCGTATGCTGCCCTCGTTTAAACATTCTTCCTTGTTGAAACCGCATCTTTTAAAACAGGATACCAGCAGAAACAGGGGATTCTACTTAGCCAGCATAGCCTTTTCGTTCGTAATGGCATTAACGAATGCAGCGTAGTCCACACTTGGATAGTATTTGAAAAACTCGTAGCGCACCGGTAACATACTGCGCGTTTATCCTTGAAAATATGCTCATCGATGCGGTGGTGAGATGAAAGCCGCTTGGGCATCGGTAAATGGGGACAGCATCATCAGGGTAAAGCAAAACATACGATATTCATATGTAAACTGAACATCGAAAACTGAGACACGGCAACGCTCAGCTGCTTCAAAGGATAATTACAAATGAGGGTCGTTTGCGTTCTCTTGTTAGCGTGGCAATGCTAAACTAGTTTCTATTACCTGTAGGCACTTTAAGCAGAAAACCGTATTATGACGAAGACAATCCGACCTCTTAACGATATTTCTTTGACGGATAGTGTATATGTAAACTTAAGGAGTGGCGTAGCATTTTCAAGGCTCTCTGTTAAAAATGCAAACATAAAGAAACTCGTCAAAGTATTAGACCAGGCTCAATACGAAAACATTTCCAGCGACTGATTTTCTTTTTAGCCAATTTCAGTTTTAAAAGACATGAGGCAACATATGTAAACGCTGTACTTTAGGAGGAAGGGCATATGTTACATCTTTTGGCAAATTACAACAATTGTAATTGTGGACGTAAGCGCTGTCGGCGTTTTTCAGCTGTGACCGAGATTATGTTCCATCCGGGTAGTTGAGTTTGTCAAACTTTACTAGCCGGGTGGAACATACAAACGGAATGGAATAGTGAAAACCCATGGAAGAATGAGCTGCCTTTGTCAACGATCCTCAAGTCGACCTAAAGCGTATGCGCTAACCAATTCTTTTAACTCCCGCTTTTTTTTTTATTTTTATATATTTGACCTTATGTCAGTTGTATCCACGTTATGGCAACAAGGGTAAGTCTACATTCCCAAGCATAGGACCAAGGAATAGCTCGTCTGCTGTTCATACCACAGGTCACATCTCTGGTGGCCGTGAACTCTACACTGAGTAGGCCATGAAGCAACGGCAAAAGACAGCATCTATTTCTCTGATATTTATTAGATCCTACACTGGTTTACAAGTAGACATTGCTCAGTGCTGAGTGAACGTTATCGTAGGACCTAAACTGGACATTGGTACGAAACAACTGGAGAAAGCTGGTCAGCAGCGATCTTCCCCGCTATCTTTGTCCGACCTGGCGGGTTTGTCAAGCGCGACGCAGCTAGAAGCAGGGCGACGAGCTAGGAAAAAGTAAACCACACATTCCGTCTTTTAAGGTTGTTTCCCAATAGTCAGAACGATACATGATGCCAAGAGGAAAACTGAAGGTATCATCCGAGAACACAGCGATAGTTGTATCGATAACGATCACATTTGTTGTCTGTATATTAATGACGGTTCAGCATATCAGCGAAAATACGGTTATCTACTGAATTAAGATAAGAAGCTATATGAAACAAATTACCAAAGAATGGCGATAGGAAAAATTAAACACTCATTTTGGAAAACGGTGCTACGTTACACACTGTTGACATCAGTTATCATAAAGTGTATCTATTACACCTATTCAGAAAACAATATAACACAAATGTGCTTAAATTAACGAATGTCAATACGCTCTCAAAACCTCCAAGGTTTTTGGCGTTTTGTGGATCTAACCCGTACTTCCCTAATCTAGAAATTTACATTTTTCAAATGTGCTGCTATTGGGCAAATGGTGATGATAACAACTTTCAATTAATTTAGAACTATTATTGTTGATATAACAAAATGGTACTCAACACATCACTGCAATAATACAATTATCGATATAGTTACTTCTCAACTCAACACAAATGGATATACTACTGAAGTGACACAGTTTTGGAGGAAACTAAACTGGGCTTGACGAATACGACTGCATTTAAACATCTGCGCAAGCTAATCAGACTTCAAAATGATATACTTCACCCTGTCAACACATATCGTAATTGTCATGAATCAATGGCCTTATCACCAAGTGATAATTATCATTAAATATCATCAATACGAGTAGCTGCTACTGTTAAACTAATTGTAAGCAAACAGGTTGTTAAGAGTTTTTTTTTTCTTACTAGGCTATTGCAAGCAAATCCGGTTGGCTTTAAAATCAAACAACTTTTGAATAACGCGCCCTTGGTAGACAGAATTTTGGTCTCATAAATTACCACTCAGTAGTAAAGTCTTCGTTCCTTAAAAATGACACCGCTGCGAAAATCTATCGAAGGTTGGTGAAGCCATAAGGCAAGGAGGCTTTAAGCGAAAACACATTGCGTGAATAACGCAGACGTTTCAAGAATTGAGATTGGAATACCGAAGATTAGTAACACGCTGACTAGATGGTTATCTACTGAATTAAGATAAGAAGCTATATGAAACAAATTGCCGCAATCGTGGAGGCTTTTCGTAAAAGTCGAGGTTAAAATCTAAGGACACTTTCGGTTAAAACCATCACTTCACATGAAACGTGTTATAGAATTATAACCAAAATACTAAAAATGTAAAAATGAGTCCCCTGGGAATTGACTATAGGTTAGTCATAGGTACGTGTGGTGTGTTAAAAGTATGTACTGTGAGCGAAACTTTATACACAGTCACTGGAGAATAATCAGGCGAGTGAATGGCGTTACCAAATTGAGTCGAGCAGATTCTGATGTAAAATGCTAGTAGAACTTGTAACGGATATCAAGGGCATCTGCTACTGAAATTCGTTAAAAATGAAACAATGCTATCCCAAGTTCCTCAACAGACTAATGAGTCGTTGGTACGACAATCGACAACACGCAGTCTTGTTATTTTATGACAATACCAGACCCTATCTCTATGCCATAATTCATTCCTGAATTGAAGAAATATGCAACTTTAGTTTCAGCTCGCTTGTTCTCTCGATTTAAGTCTGTGATATTACACACCTCTTCCCATGCCTCAAAAACGGGCAGTTGGTGGGTAAGTATACTCTACTGTTGATTTATTTTGACAAGTCATAGATAGAAAAATTACATATAAGAAGGAGAATGATATGTATGAGGATGTCCATAACCTGCCAGAGCGCTGTAAAAACAAGTTTGTAAAAAACAAAGGAGACTATCAGTATCACTAATAAAAAATCATTATGCTAGCCCAATTATTTAAAAAATCATGCAATCTCAAAATCTATCGGATTTGCTTATAACAGCCTAATCGAATCTAAAAAGTGCACTGAATAGGGTTCAATATTTTTTGAACCCTCCATAGAAAGCCAGCCTACAGCTTATCGTTTTACAACAGCTCCTACCGAGTTCTATAATGAGTAACTCTTTATGTTATACTTCTCACTTAAATGAAACTTTTTAACACATTTTGAAGATGAAGCGTCTTGCGAAGAAGTCTGAAAATATCATGTAAACCAATATATATCTTCAAATGACAGTGTAGTCTTCAGCATATGTATAAATATAAGATCTTTTCAATTTCCTCATCACGTAAAAAGTTTTATATTATAAATGTTTTTTGCGCCTAACAGAAATGTCTAGCTAATTCGGACACAAGAGCTTATTTTTACGTTACCGCGATAGGACGTGTAATAGATAGCAGCGAACAAGGGAAAGATTGGCGAAGTATAGAGTTTCATTTTGCCACTTGAAATAAACTTAAGCACAGATATAAAAACAAAACGATTATAACAAACCATGTCACTCGGAAAAGCATTGTTTTCTTTAGTAAGATCTCATTACTTTATATCAGATTATTGCATCTAAAGGGATAGAAAAACGAACAGATTCTCCAAGCTATTTAAAGTGTACCTGTATATCATCCTGCACTACTCATGCAGGTGCGTGCGTTGTACTCTCTGGCTTAATCTTCTTGGCCGTAGGCTCTGTTAAATGCTGCGCGTCCAGGTCCGTTGATACTTCACTATGACCGCTGGGTTCAACGCTACTACTGCCTTGACTTTCTTTATCGTTCTTGTCTTCCCTAGGTTCATTGACGTTGTTTTGCTGATTGGCGTCACTGTTATTAGCATTCGTCCGGTGACGTTTTTTTTTGCCCTGAAGCCTTTTTCGTTTCTCCTCAATTTCATCGGTAGCCGTAGCTCGAGCTTTCGGACCCCAGTTTCTCTCAGGGTTATTCTGATACCTACAATGTTAATGCTTTCATAAGAAATATTCATTCTAGGCGAAGCCTAACATTTAAGCTTAAAGTATTAGCTAACTTGCTTAAAACATTTTATAATTTGATTTGTAAACGTATTTACAACATATAGAAAGGTTGCGCAGGGGCATTTTTAAATTGTTCCCTTATGCCTCAAGTGGGATATTATCACCTAATTAACCTCGATACTTTTCTAATATTACTGTCTCAGAACTCTGGTAGTCAACTTTTCCATGTTAAAATGCCCTATCGCAATAACTATCTTTCCCTCATTTAATCTAACACTAATCCGAGACCTATTCAAAAAAAGTAATTACCTAAGAGACTTGTCCTTCATAGATGGCGCAATTGCGTCTTGCCTTTCGTTGAAATTTACGCTCGTCTTAATGCTATGCGATAAAATGATTTGACGTGTTGCCAATTCGGCTGACTTTACAATCTTCCTCTGTAAAACAGAATTTTTACTTCGCTAATATCATTAATTTCATCGAAAGCCTGAAACATATTATATGACAAGAGGACACGCATCTTACCCTTCAAAAGGAAAAAAAATAACTGAGGCCAGGCCACTGTAAGGCAGCTAATTACCTGAAATCAGTTTGGCAGATCCTATTGAATCGCCATTGTGTAGCTTTGAATGTGTCAGAACGAAGGGGAGGCATAACCGTTCTTTATACAAGTGCATGAAATGCAGTTTAACTGAAGCATATAACAATGTAATTTGTACCGATTTGAATCTATCCTCATTCATCCATCATTGCTGTTTTATTCAAAATCGATCCTTCTGACATAATAGTAATAACTGAATTATTATTTGCGCACATGGCCGTGAGAAATATAAAGATTTATTTGAACACGAATAATGATATGACGTTTGCCTACCGATTTGACCCAATGCCGCATTATGTCCCAAATGACGTAGGAAGGAGCATCGGTCTTCACAGACGTTCGATTTGTGTGTGACGAACTAACTCTGTAACCGGCGTTCATAATTGCGGATCGAAGCTTGATCATGGGCACGGTGTCTGAACGGAGGACCTGTTTGTAAAAGAAAGGTCGTTGTCCAATAAAATCCTCAGAGTTACTGACATTAGTTACGTAAATGTTGCCAAGAACAAAATACTAGTATGCAACAGAAAGTACGTTAAACAAGAACGACAACACAACGCATTGCACTTGAAGCGAGTTCTCAACAAACTTGTTTTAAAGAAGGTCGTTCTGAAAGTACTATCAGTTGTGTGCCAGATATTCTAATGCCCGCGGTTCAGTCTACCGACTATTTTGTTACAACGTAGTCGACTGTGTACACCCCATTTGAGTTGACCTAGTTACAATTCCTTAATCGCTACCCAAAGAGTATCTAACATAATAAATATTTACGTAGGCACCTGAAAAGTTTCCAGTCCAATACAAAAAAAAGTCATTTTTATTATCAAATGCTGCTTTATTTTTCAACATAGTCTTTTTGTAGGTCTATACGCTTCTTCTAGCAGTGCTCCTATCTCTTAAATATATATATATATATATAAATTCTAGTTGGCATCCTCACCTGCAAAAGATGCACTTACAAATGTGATGGCGTTTTCATACGGTGAAAATTAACGTCCCTCGGGCGAGATGCTGAGATTAAAACACAAAAGAAACTCGCTGAAGGCTGGATTTTTTAAATACAGTAACTATTCAGTTAAGTCAGAGGCGGCGCGTTGTCTTGGTAAAACAACGCTTTCTTCTTTCTCAAATGCGATCGTTTTCCCGCAGTCTCTGTTTTTATCTTTCCTACATTTGGTGTATAGTATGCCTCGGTTATGACATTTTCTTTTTCAAGGTAGCCAATTAACACAACTCTATAATTAGTTCAAAAAAATCGTCACTACTTCTCCAGTCGATAGAACAGCCGTTTAACTTTAGCTTTCCAAAATTCCACTGGGACAGGAGATCCTCTATAATTATCGTCCATTCCGGTTTTGGTTTGCCTAGGCAATTTGCCCTCAAAAGCAAGAATTTAATGACGGTTCGGTAAATTTTTTTCATTTTTGCAGAAACACTGACTTCGACTGATACAAACGATTATCAAATAACAACTGGGTGTCCAACATGGCTGAAATTCTCACGAATATTGTTCAACGCGTATACGATTAAGTCGCCAGAATATTTTTGACGATTAACACCATCTTCATGTTGGGGCTGGAAATTTTTCAGGCTACTCTTTTATTAAAGAAAGAGAGATGTGATGACCTATACCTGTGACAACTTTTCTTGAGTATAATGTAACGGCACATCAAGTAGCTCCTCTGAAATGACATTGACGATGCCTTGCATTCGTCGTAGCGTCTGAAATCTTCCTCGTTCGACCGTAGTCCGTCCGATCTTCTGAACTCCGCGATTGCAATCATCCTGGTTATTGCTGATATTACTATTATTGTTATTATTATTGCTGTTTTCCGCAGTGACAACTGAAAGCTTATCAATTTCAGATGCTTGTTCCCGACTCTCAAGTGACCTCCGTTGGGCTTCGAAGTCAGGTAGGTCTGTAACTTCGAGTTGGGTATATGAGCGAAGGCTTTGCTGCAGTCTCAATACGAAATCTCTGCTGTGAATCGGATTAGTCCAAATGGGACCTCCTGCAAAAAAAATGACCATTGCTTACATAAATTGTGTATTAATGAATGGAGATTTGGCTTAGTGTCAAGTCTGACTTACTTTCACTAAGTAATAAAACTACCATACTTCCCTAAACGGAAAAATAACCTGAAAAATTCAGTATCTAAGCGACTTTAGATGAGCAAATCGAATCGCAAGTAAAAATTCGATGAAAAAATGTGTGTATTCAGATAAAGGCAGTCGCTTACCCATAGTAAAAGTGCCTCCACAGTTGTCACAAATAGGACCTACAGGTGGGCCTCGAGAGTTTTTAAAGTGGGTCTTCTGTTCCACTGTAACTTGAGTTCCCATCGGCTGGAAATGAAAATTCTCGCAGCCGTTACAGCAGTATACGATAGCAAGCTTCGACGTTGAGAGTTTTACCTTTTGAGCAGACGCTTCTACCTTCACAAATACTCGAATATAGAAGTCGACTGAAATAGAGACAAGTGGTGTGATGAATCTGAAATGAAAGAGAAAGATCGTAAGATTATGTCGTTCTATCACCGTTGGTCCTTTAGAGATCCTGTTAATAAAATGGCTGCGATCAAAAAACATGGGGCACATTTATGGTTTGAATCTGTAATAGTAGCAAAGGTACTGACGCCCGATTGAAAACGTCGTGAGTGATTGATTTATAAAATTACCTTCCATGGCGATTAGCGGCACTTTCAATACTGCATAGAAGAATTCGCAAAGCCATCTCGTGGCAGAATTTCCCTCGAAGAGAAACGGATCCATACTTTGCACGACATGTTTCAGGAGTGTTCCCGCATAAGATGGCCATGTCGGTAGCTGTCACACAAAGAAGGCCACCATTCTGCACAGCTTGAACTGCCGGGTCTAGAAACTTGGCTGCGCAGCCGTAAGGATCTAAATCTAGTAAAATCAAAATTAAACCAAATGCAGTGGTTAGCTTAGTCGCCGCAAACGCCCGTAAATTGATTGCAGGAAATGAACATATAATTTTTCTTATTTCACATATCCAGGCATAAATGCGCATTTATTTAGCATTTCTAAACAAACCTTGATCGATTTGTTGTAACAGACCCAAGCATATCGTCCGGCTAACTCAAATAAGAGACCTAGACATAATCTCTTTTTCAAGTTAGTACTCATTCCACAGCGCCATAATCGACTTTCTAATGATACCTAATGATAATCTGACCTTTTGATATGTAACCGGGAATTTGAATTATTTTTCAATTAGCGTATCACAAATCCAAGGCAGCTGCTCAGTGAATTACAAAGCTTATTTGAATACCAAAGCCTGGAAGCCGCTGGTGCAAGCCCGCCATGCACAGTTGTGTATCTTATATCAATACAAAAACGTAAATCCGAAGACAGTACTAGGCACTTACCAACGACATCAAAGTACCGACCTTCTGATTTGCATTGATACATATAAAGAACAGCATCACCCATGTTAGGACGAATCTTGTTACCCAAGCCATTTAGTTGCGCGTTCATTCGTATAGACTCGATGGCGTTCTTTGAAATGTCATTGGCCACAATTTCCTTGATGAACTCATCGTCCAGTTCGAGCGCGTAACGAATAGAACGCAATCCAGAAGCTGCAAGTGCTTCAAGTATCGTAGCCCGCTGCTCCCACGATTTTTTCTGCAATCGTATAACAAAAAAGAGATATGCTATTTTGGATGTTTCGAGCCTTCTTCATTTTCAAAAAGCTCTATTTTTATTACGTGTGTTGCCCTAGCAGACTTCTGTACCACTTATATTGACGTTATCATTATATTATTGTTATACACACACACACATATATATATATATATATATATATATATGTTACGTGCCGCATCGATTTTCAATGGTAAAAAACCTTACATTTTGAATAATGAACTCCTTTCGCTCGCGAAGATATTCGTTAATAACAGCAGTACTGAAATTTTAACAATCGAACAGCATTAGAAATGGCCGATATGTTACGGCTTTTGCAACCTCTCATGAAAAACTTCGTAGATTCATTGTTATTATAGGGATATTTAAACTTCGTACTCATTTACGCTGTTACTAATAATTAAACTATCTATTATATAATCCGTTATATTATTATATATTATATATCCGTTAATATTATATAAACAATGGTACTTTGTTCATCATACACATCAAAATATCATATACATTAATATCTAGATCTAAGTAAGGTTGCAGGTCAATGGTCCATGCAGTTAAATGATTCATCAAGTGTCTCATGTAGATACCTGATATCTCTATTAAAACACTGCACTGGATTGTAGAATACTCCTTGGTCTTTTTTAAGGTGCACCTTAGCTGCTCCCTCTGTTAGTTCGAGACCTTCAACACCAGCCGACAGTTCGATTACTCGAAGTTTACCGCGAGCCATCACGTTGGATTTGGTCACGGTGTTCCTGGCCAAAATGTAACTTGAAAGTGTCAGGCGAATCTTCGGACGATCTCCTGTTCTAGCCCAAGTCACAAAATTTCTGCAATAATAATCGAACACTTGGTAATTCCCATTAAGTTGCGCTAAAGTGCAGCCCCTTTTTGAGAGAAGTTTCGAACACAAAAACTTTACGTGACGACATGGGAATCTGTCGGTTAATACCATCTGCCTCTAAATGTCTCAAGCAGAAATTCTGTGTCGTTTATCGTTCAACGATCAGCAGAGGGCTGCTCAGCAACAGGAATCAAAATGTAGCACTCGCACAAACTACGATCATCCATGAACTTCTATATCGTTTAAACTGTTTCATCTATAGCGGTTTCCAACACGCACAATTTTGTCGAAGGGCCGGTGAAAACACCGAGCGCGTATATACTCCTGCTCGGTGAGTCCATAGCTCTGGTAAATGGTAACCCACTATTATGTCTGTTTTGTTGAGCTCGATTTTTTTTTATAAAAAGACGCAATAAATGAACTTTCTCTTTATGGCTATAGGTAATAACTGGTTGTTAGTAACTAACGATTCTATATGCGTCACTCCGAACACGTAAAGACGAAGGTCCTTATCGGCTTCAGATATGGTCATGTTTGTTATAATTGGTAAATGCCAACGTATCGATAACACGTGCGAAAGAAGCAGAATGAGCTAAGTGTGGAAGGTCTTGTAATTTTGTGGTATTATTGTGAAATTTGTTAGAATTGTTTCACGATGAATTTCATTCCAAGTCTTTGCTGGGTGAAACAGGGTGCAGCGATGAACCTGCCTCACAAGGTATTTTATAATGACAATGTTAAGTTCGCCAAAAGTCTATATGTAATCTAAATCATATGAGCTGAGCACCTAAGTAGAATGCACAGTTGTGTATAAAGGCTACGGACTCATAAAAGGATAGTTAGTGACTGTCTTCAATCATACGGGTAGTGCGTTATTAAATGTTGATTCAGGCTAAGTTATCCACATAAGGATCTGTATAATTTCGTTCATCATGTCAATTACTAGTCCAAACTAAAGATTACTCACAGGAAGCAGAACGAGAGATTATTGGTTTATTCCGTTGTCCGGACTGCTTTCCATAGGTACATCTTATAAGCTGCAGAAAGTACATGCTTGGCCTCGTTGGCGTGCAGGGTTTATATGATTCTCTTACGCTGTACAGGAAACAGAAGTATTGCATTAAATAGGACTCTCTGTGGTTACAGGAGAGAATTTTATTAAAGAGTTTACTAATTTAAGCGATTAAATATAATTTAAATATGAAAAGTGGAAGGCAAGACAAAAGTGCCGTAAATTAACTATTAAATCACTGATTTCATTCAGCGTTAGCGATAAGGCAGCTTCCATCATTAAATTGAAAAACACGTTGCTACATTTATTTCCTACTGATCGGTATAAGAGACCTTCGTCACTCAATATTTAGTAATTTAGGCGCATATGATGGTTCTCTAGGTACAAATACGCAAAGACGATTTGAAAAATCTTCTTGGAGAATTTAAAGAGGAAGATGAAGAGGCGAGCGGCGATGAGGCGACAACTGAAGCAGCTGGATGTGAAGGTGACGCTGCACAGCTTGAGAATATCGAAACAAAATATCACATGGATGACTTCGATGACGAAGATGGTGGTGATTTATGTAAGCAAAGATTGTTTCAGCTGAACTTTGTACTTAGTCTAAAATGTGTTTTCTATATTTTGTTATAGGTGCTACAATTAAATTTTTGTGTTTGCAATTCAGTGTGGCATATTTTGTACACATATCGATTGAAGGGAAGTTCAGCAAATAATTTCTGAAGATTTATTAACTACAGAGCATTTACCCTTCAATAATAATTCGTCTTTATTACTATGTAGTTTTTATTCCTAGCGAGTGTTTCGAGCGAAGTAGATAAACAGATTAAGTCCTGTATCCGGTATATCAATATACTATCAACTGATTTTGGGGTGCGGGTGTCATGATATTCATATGTCATACTTGTTAGGTGTTAGCCTTGCTGGCCTGACTTGTTACGCCTCTTCAAAGGACGACCCCCATCTCCGCAATGATGTCGATTCATCAGATTCAGAGGACGAAAAAGACGCTTTTCAAATTCAGGACACCGACAATTTGCTCATTGTTGGTCGAGTTGATGATCAAAGTGCAACAATGGAAGTAAGTGTTAACAACGCTACTTTGTAAGGCTATGTTATAACTACACCTATGTTAAAAAAAAATTCTTTAAATTAGATACCTGTTGAGGTTATGTGCTCGAGTGATGAAGTTGTCGCACTGTAGCTAATTTTGCAATCCTCAACTTTTCCGCAGGTTTACGTGTACAATGAAGACGAGGGCGATCTTTACGTTCACCACGAAGTCATCTTGCCCGCCTATCCGATTACGATGGAATGGCTGAACTTCGATCCATGGGCTGAGAATTGTACCACAGGCAATTACTTGGCTGTAGGTGATATGACACCCGTTATTCGGATTTGGAACCTAGACGTTGTGGACAGTCTAGATCCCATCATGAAACTCGGGAAAAAGGAACAGAAGAAAAAAAAGAACAAACCTAAAGTAAAAGGATATGGCCACAAGGACGCTGTAATTAGTCTTCACTGGAACAGGTAGTTTAAGTAAGAGAGACTAGTTTTCAATTAGCAAAATTAAAGACTACTGCCATTGACATGGAGTATCCGTCATATTTGGCCAAACGGGAGGTCCATACGGAATTTTGTTCAGAATACTGTAATTCCACATTTCAATAGCTAAAACCACTCTTTAGCATAGAATAGGTGTACTGTAGGTTTGCAAAAGTAATGCGTTCTCTAGCTGCGCCTCGCTTCATTTATTTAAACTGTCTAAAAGTGCTCGGGCGGAATTGGCCTCTTCTATTTAAATACAAAGGCTTTTCTGAAAAGCATCCTACGAGTAATAAATGATGTCTAGCGAGTCGTGATATGAAGATATAGCCTACTATGGAACGATGGTAACCTATAAAAAACAGTATTTAGAATATGGTTACTGTCTGGCAATCAGCGTCACAACATCGAAGAGTCATAATCTCGTCTATTATTGTTGACTGTGCGCTGATATGTTTTTACTTTGAAGAGCACAATTCTATAACAGAATAATAGCAGTTCAGATCTTTATTCTTCGTAACGAATACAGCACTTCACATAATCAAGTCAAATTTTTTAGTGCAGAACGCCCTTTGAAACGAACCATTCAGGAATTATTTAGAATTATTAAAATCTGAAATACTTATCTTTTTTTAATTTTTATTGTTTATAGAAGATAGCTAGTCGAATTGAGACAAATGTATTTTAAAAGAACACTCTAGTTATTACATGAGACACAGCACAGAAAGCGACAAATCATGATATTTGTAACCGTTCATCCATAATTTATACTCCACAGTATCATATTATTCAACAGTTGCACACATAACCTTTACTTACTATATATAATAAGTTAAAATTTATATACAGTTAATCTCTAAGAGCTTATATATAAGCTTTTAGAGATTCTAGATTGGTTTTAGTGACAGTATATTATACTAGAATGGAAAGTTTGTTCAACAAAGATGAGAGCATCCACTAGAAGGCAAGAAATTCCACATTGTTTGTACGCTACCTATAATTGTTAGCGCAATTATGGATAATCCGTGTTATGACTCGGTCAATGTAAGAGAATGAAATTTACGTTAATAACTGTTAGTATCTCACATTATTGTGTATTAGCAATTGTTTGCCTATGCGTTTTGTCTAGCCTCCTTCAACTATGAGCTCCCTGAGGCTCGTAAGCTCAGGCTTATAGATGGGCTCATGCAGACCGAAGTTTGGTTTGTAGTACGTTATAGAATACCTGCAAACGAGTCGGTTTTTTGTTCGCTTGTTATGAAATGTAAAGAAGTATAGTCTTCTACTTTAAATTTGTTTTCATAATTAAAAATCGTAAGCGTTTATATAATCTATAAATTCTCTATTTGTGCAGGCTAGAACGTCATATACTTGCGTCTGCCTCAGCAGATAGTACCGTGATGCTGTGGGACCTGAACACAGCGCTTCCAACTGTAACGATGTCCGAACATAAAGATCGTGTACAGACTGTGCGGTTTCATCCATTCGAGGCTCCATCTCTGCTTTCCGGCGGCTCAGATTCGATCATTCGATTGTGGGATGTGCGAGACCCTAACAGGTCATGTCGAACGTGGAAAACTGAAGGCGAAGTGGAGAAAGTTCTTTGGGACCATTTTGCGCCGTTCTACTTCTTTGCAGCCGCCGAACCCGGCCACCTTTTCGGCTTTGACGTGAGAAATGATCGAAAACCAGTTTTTACTGTAGCCGCCCATGAGAAATCTGTCACATGTAAGTATACTTAGCGCAAGGTTGCACATCAATCCTGATAACGAAATGCCTTAGAGTTGCTTGCTGAATCTATCGTTCCGTCTCTCCCATAGGTATGACGCTCTCGAACTTCTGTCCAGGTTTGATGATAACCGGCGGCCAAGATCAGAAAGTGAAGGTCTGGGACGTCGAAAACAAAGCTAGCCCACGTTTTGTGTTAGAAGCCTCGTTAGAAATTGGCGAGCTACTATCGATGGAAGCAAGCGTTGACCAGCCATTTATTGTGGCTATTGGTGGTGATGAAGGCGATGGCGAACAGAACCTGCGAGTTCTAAACCTTCTTAAAAAGTTCCCTGCACAAATGGAGCCATTTAAGGCTAAGAAACTTATGAAGGTTGTTGACACCGTTGAAAATAAGAAGACCAATATTCAAGTAGATGGTAAGTATCTATACAAGGATATTAAGTTATCAAGAAACAGTTATACTAATTTTCACAATTAAGCATGAACTCGTACCGTCTTGATAAATGAGTTTAAACAATATAGGTTAAGAAATGTATAGTATGTTTTCAAAATTAACCCCTAAACAAAGAGTTGATGCCCCATCATAGTAGTAGATATAGATAAGGCCATAAGTGATAACAAAATAAATCGAATCCAAGAAATGAACTAAAATTGCCGAAGGTATGAACTAGGGATTTTAGAATAAATAACCTTCACATAATCTAAATTACTCCCAAACCCATATACGGTAGTTAAGTGGGGCTAGCGTGTTTTAAGAAACATAGAAGCGATTGGACGCGTGCAGTCGATAGGATGGTATCACTTAAGAACGGAGGGAAGTAAAGTTTTTTTAATTTAGTTCTCACTGCAAATTTTCTTCAGAATTCAGCAATTTACTGAGCTACTGAAAGGTATACAACTGCGCATGGGTTGAAAAATACTTGTGAGAATTTCAACTATGTTAGATACTCAGTTGTTATTTAACAGTCGCTTTCCATATTTCCATAAAAATTGAAAAGCATAACGATTAATTTAAAAATACCAAATCGGTTATTTATTTACGGTTACTCCGTACATCGTTTGCCACTGTTTTGACAAAATTAATTTAAACGTGGTTGGATCACTCCAACCTTAACTTGAATGTGTAAGATGACCAAAACTGCAACATTAAAAAGTTTACCAAACGATCCTTAAAATTAGAAAAACATCTCTCTAAAAGATAGAAAGAACGTATAATCATATATTAGCTGATGATTTGAAGGTAAAAGATTAGGGACCATAAACGTATTTTTGAATACTTTCCAGTAACTTATTTTAAATGAGATGAGTTTCGGCATTGATTAACAATTGCTGAGAAAGCGTGGATATACCACTACGGTCCTAAAACGAAGACACAATCAAAACGGTAAACTGCGAAGAATGAATCGGCTTTAAAAAAGGCGAAAGCTGTTACAATGATATGCAAAGTGATGGTATGGCGCTTGTCTTTTGGGATCGTCATGGAGCTGTAGTAATTGTCTATCTTGAAACAGGACAAAAACAAAATAACGTGGTTACACTACATATCATTACTTCATAAGCGAATGTCGGAAATTGTCGAAAAATGGCCGCATTTGGGGAAGATAGTGCTTTTATATCTGGACGACGCACGGCCTAGCATTTCAGCGTTCATGAATTGATATTAATGTTGATTAACTATTTACCGTATTCAACAGATCTGGGCTCCTTAATTTTTTTTAGAAATAAAACAATATTTGACAAGGAGGACGTACTTCTGGTGGCGAACAGAATTTTAGATTAACTCTATATATATGAGTCAATCTAAAAAAAATATACATATTACGTCTTTACTAGCAAAGGTGCACATACGTTGAAATAAATCTTTTGTTTTCAGTCGAGGATGAACCGGATGGGAATGCTAATGGTGATAGCCCCGAAGAAATGGACAACGACTATATGGAATCGTAACTCAAGTTATTTGTCTTTAAGCTTTAAGTTAATGCTTAGAATAGAAATTCGCATGTCTATTCAACCAATGACTATAAGTTTCATTGTCTTTTTTTTGCACTTTTGTGAATTGATCCTTACTGCTTCTACATAAGACTCAACTGTAAATATGAAATAAAGATCGAAGTAAAGTAAGCCATCGCCATACTTCGTGTCAAAATACATGAGTGTTGCTATCTTTATTAAAATGTTGGTCTTTTTAGTTCTATTTACATTATTTTAGCTTGTAGGCTTATTATGCTATTTCATTTATCATGAACTGCGGCTGGGTTTGGATTAAAGTGCTGAAGTTTGATCTTCTGCCTGCACGCTCTCTCCGGGCAAAGTTTCTTCTTTAAACTCCCCTCTGCTGCCGCTTTTATCGCCAGCAGGCACCGATCGAATCTTGTCCCGCATCTCTGGGAACGGATTGGAAGTATCAGCTTCACTACTGGACGGTGTAAGGCCGAGTGATATCTTCAGTTCACAATATTTATCATGAACGAACTCAAGACGCTATGATGTATTTAACAAAACAAATGAAGATGAACTGAGAATTAGAACCCTACCTATAACGAATTCACAATCGTTCTTCAAATTTCCTATTTGTATCGATACTAATAAACACTAGATAACTAAATGCAAATTTGTTGTAAAATAAATCTTACATCTGATTATTTAATCTCAAAGAAAGAGGACTATCGTCCTGTGATCGTACGACCGTAGAATCTATACAGGCTAACAAAAACCTCTCTACAAACCCTGAATAGATCTGTGCTCTGTAGCAGGTTTCTATGTCCGGCGATTCGGTTAGCGAGCTTTAATTTGCGGTGTGTCAGCTGCTGAGGATCGAGCATGTACGACTTGAAAGCGTATGGTCGAAGCGAATGCACAAAATGGAATGCTGATTCGGTCTGTAACCGCCTGATTGCAAAGACCAGGTCTAGGTGATTATCTTGCTGACACACATCGGCGAATGATTCAAGTCGCTCAAGGTCACTGAGTCGTACACGCATCTGTGAAAATGAGCACACTTCAATAATAATAATGATTGTAATAATAAAAATAATACTGGGAAATTTATAACATTGAACTGACCGGGGTTCGCGGTCTACATATCTGGCAGAAATATGTCGCAAACAGCATGTAGACGATGAATGCCTTGTCGGTGAACGAGTCGGTATCCTCCAGTTCCCGGATCAGCACCTCATATACGTCCTCAACAAACACACGGGCTGATAGCTCGTTGCCAAAACTAAACAATCAACATTCGTTCTGCTTTATCTTTCATGCTCAATGTTTTGCTAGTAAAAAGGCAATTACTATGTCAACATTAACTTCATACATTAAATGCATAGACAAGCATCACGAACCATTAAATCGAATTGATTTTTACCAAGTACTATATAAATCATAGAACCTACATTAGAAAGCTAGTTCTTGTACGCTGCGACTACAGGAGCGCACAATTGACCGCCACAATAGATGATCTTTTAAACATGAGGTACATGACAGTCTTGTGACTACACACGGTGCGATTATGCTTATTAACAAATTGTAAAAACTCACGTACCCCTGAAAGAGTTTAGTGGCTTTTAGCGTCCTGAACACTGTGGCAAAATGTTCAAATCGAACACTGTTGGTTGCATGAAATGCAAAGCGGATTCGATTCAAATCTTTGACCAACGAATCAATTTGAAGATTTGCCACTGTCGACAAGTAAACCCTTTGTTGCTCCTCTAATCGTTGCACAGCTTCTGGTGACGTTGTGCCATCTCCTAACGCAAAGGAACTTGCTGCCATTTCATTTGTTCCTGTGTGGTAACCCAATGTATTATATTAAACACAGTTCAAGCTCATGATGTTGCTTCACTTCTATGCACTTTTATTCCAAGCAAAGACCAAAGCAAGAGATTGTTCTGATCTACAAGATAATGAACGAATGCGGAAGTAATGTCTCCTGCCATGTTGAACAAAGGATCGTTCTCTTGTAAAACAGAACGACTTTTGTCTCACTGCTTTCACCGATTTACAATCGCCTACGTGTAAACATCCAAGGCAGGTTGTTAAACGATTTTCAATAAATAAAGACTAAGCATAATTTCTGAAAATATAACTAATATCTTTATTCAAAGTAAAGTATCACATACGTTGGATTCGTTTATACAATGTACGTTCACAAAGTTAGGTAAACTATGACAAACGGACGTCCATAGAAAAACGGAGGGAAGAACATTAGACTAACAGTTGTGATTCCTATATGTACATAAATCAAAATAAACCTATTTACAACATGATAACAGAGTTTACGAGGTTTTGCATCTTTACTAAGAGCCCGTGAATTCGCTGTGGCGTGTCTTCCGCTTGGGGTTTCATGTGCAAAAAATTGTTCATCTTTTCTGTTAATACTCGCAATTCTTCCGCAAATTTCGCTGTTTGATCAGTTGCACTTTTTGTCTCATCGAGTATTCGGCGATACCCCATAGCCGTGCATGTTATTGGAAGGTTAGGTTTGGTCACAAGACTAGCATTTACCTCGTGATTTAAATGGGTGGGACTACCCAGAACGGAAATTTTCCCCGAAGGACTTTCTCGTACGAATAGATGCGCTGTACAATAGTCACTTGTTGCTCGGGTAAAGACTTTGCGTGTTTTTCGTCCATTTGCTTGGCCGTCCCTATTACAGTTATACATTTTGGTTCGAGTACCATCCCGCAGAACCTTCGCACTGTGCGACGCGAAACTAGTTTGATATGTCATCTTTACTTCTTCAAACCATCGGCTAAAGCTTTTCGAGTCATCGAAGCTCATGTTAAAGATGACCACCTCTTCTTGTTCATGGTCTTTGGCAAGATGAAACAAGAGGTCGATTCGTTTTGGAAAATGACGCAAGCAAAATGGACACTTTCCGATGAGATCGCCCTTCGGCTTTACAGGCGTGACAAGTAAGTTATGCGTAGTTTTGATGTGACGAACTAGGTAAGGGCGCTTAGCGAATTGTTGTCCGCATGTAGGACAGCTAAAAACGCTGCATTCGTTGGAGAGCGGGACGGTTACGCCAGCTGCCGTTTGATCCGGCGCTTGATAGTCCTCCACGGACTCCTTGCACAGCACGACATAAACAGCGGGCTCATCCATATCTGTTAATTGAAAATGACTCCTCATAATTCGTCTAGTTCTGCTCGTGACTCGTTTTCATTTACTTTTATTTTAAAAGTGAAAAGGATCACCCCAACCCTGCTTTAATATCTTGGTTTATATCAGATCAAGTGTCGCTGCGATGAAAGGTTACGACGGTGAGTTGATCGTGAGACGAGCAATTTCAAGTTGAGAAGTATGCTCCTGCAGAAGTCGCATGTCGTTTGTTAACCATCATTACAGCAGGGAAACACGCGCAGTTTTTTAGTTTCATGTGTTCCTTATATTTTACGTAATTGATTAAACCATATCTTTTTCTTTAATGTTGTATATAGGCAGTCTATTGCAGTGGAAGCCTAGTGTAACAGTAATGAGCAATAGTTAATAATTCCATAACGTTGCTTGAACATTTTCAAGATATAAATAATGAAGTATATGTTTAGCTTCGATCACATCTGCTTCACGCAAGAGCTAGCAATAAAATCTGCCAGATGGCGTTGCAAACTTGTGAACACAATTTGTCTATTTAAATATCTAACTGTAAATATATAATATATAATTAATATATAAAGCAAGAACAAAGGGAATCACATTTTTCTACATTTTTAAAGCTTTCGAATATCCCTTTAAAAATGAACAAGTTCTGATTAATAAGCATCTAGCTTCAAAGTTGATATACATCGCACGTTAGATCACAAAACAACGTTAACACCGTGTATTTTTTTCTATGCGCCTCACTAATTTACGGAACAGGGTTGAATGCAACATATAGAAAATCGAGCCTGCACTTTTTTACCATTTGGCGAACCATAATGTAGTAATGATAACACAGGTACTGAACAGTGATTCGAACGGTCGTCTTCGATGTGCGGAACATGTTATTATCTTGATTTTGACATCTATATCTTCGGTGTAATTGTTAGAAGACCACAAACACTAAAACGGCCATGATATGTAATTGTAGACCTGTGCTATAGCGTTTGCCGAATTTCTCCGTTTGCAAAAAAAAAATACAAGCTTTGCATTTTACGCCTGGTGCGCTCCTCGAGACACATGCAAACTATTACCAGTAACTAGTTTCAAAACAGCTGTAAATATATTTGTAGCTGTCATGAAATCGGATTTGCCCGATTCTATAAACACGTACTATATGCACGTATCGGTGAATATTACTGAAGCATCATGAAGGTTCCTAGTTAAGTTAAACTAAAGTGTTATCAACAATAACCCCGGTGCGTCTATGATCATTTTCTTACGTACATACGCCGTTATGACACAACTACTGCTAGGGACGTATGAATCTGTTCCTTTTCTAACTTACCGATAGATAGATTTGCACTCGATTTTGAGACACAGCTGGAAACGCATAAATATGAAACTCGCAAATTTCTTTTTTGAGTTCGAGGCAGTAGCTCGCAAAGGATCGTAACACCTTCGGTTATTATACCATTTCGACTCACAAACAAAGCAGACGACAAACTTGTCATAACAGAACATCTGTGCGGTACAGCATATTAGTGAGCCTTCTTTTGAGACAGTTTGCCGATATTGAACGTCCCTTTAAATAATATTTGTGTACTCGAAATACACAAGGTAAAAAAATAATAGCTTGTTTGTCCTTGTTCTGTTATAAACTTAGAGCAGGCTTTTTAGCTAAGACTTATCGCTATTTGTGCCTATCTAGCTTGAGCTGTCGTTAAAATTACATTCTGTGATATATTAAACAAGTGGATGTACTATGACGAATTAACTGCAACGAAAAATAGTTTTAGTCCAAACAACGGCAACTAAATAACGTTGACCTTTTTGGTTCATACTAATGGTCAGCCGTCCTAAGCAAGGCCTAAATACCGGACGTAAGATCTGAGACACTGAATCGTTTTGAAATCCTGGCGAAAAGTTTGGAAATTTTAGGTACGTATTTTTCTACGTTATTTTTCTATATAAAATTTCTATTTCAGTCATTTACTGAGTAGTCATGTCATAAACAGTTGGTTCTACGTATTCTCTATGATACAACGGATGTTAGCAAATAAAACCTTTGATCTTTTTTTTTCATAAGGGTTCGCAAAGAATTTTCACTGCTTGCCGGCAAAATCTTTGCTAGCTCACTGCACGCACCCGTGGCACACGTGAAAGTGAATTGCCAAGAATGCATAGTAGTCCTTTATTCTCTATTATTAGAAAAAGCTAATACAATACTTGGATTCATTAAATTAATATAAATAAATTAAATGGAAATTTGAATAAGGTGCTCTGCGAAAATATACCTTTATTGAATTTGAGCTTAGACCTGAAACACGCTTATGTCATTATGTTCATTGGTCAGCAGTGTTAGTTTAATGATTTTTAATGCTGGGTGTTAAAGAAATCTGTTTCTTTGCATGGCAGCAAATTTTATTCTATTCTCTCCTGGATTAAACTAACTAGGCTTGATTCAACTTGCTTTGTTATTAGCACTTGACCCAGTATGTCTCAAGTATACATAATGGAAATGAGTCCAGGAAAAACTGAAGAGGAAATGTGCCGTGAGAAATGCTTCACGGTCGAACGAGGCACTACAGTTGGTCAGCTAAGAACTCTTATTGGAGACACGTTCGGCAGACATCTCGACCATTTCCAGCTCATCTACGCAGGTAACTTTTTAGTTTTTTATTTTATAATACCTTCTTTATTTGGTAGCGATCAGCCAGTGATGCACATCTAAAAATGAAGATTAAATCTAAAAATGGTGTAGTCTTTTTGTGGCACTGTGACATCAGTTTGAGGCATTATACCTCGGTGCGGCGACCCGTATATACAGTACCGTTAAGTGATATATAAGGCTGTTTTTTCGAGATACGCAAGAAGAGTTCCGTTGATTTCTTAACACGCTAGTACATACAACGATCGGCTGAATTTCTGACTGGCTTACGTAACCTTTTTATTTATTCGAAAAAGTTAGTTTCGAAAAAAGAAATTAACTGCTAGCATTTTGTTAATAATTATGGTAACTATTCATTATCGTTTTGGTCTTTATGCAGGAAAAATTCTAAATGATTCTATAAGCTTAGAAGCGGCAGGCGTGAAAAAAGATTCAACAGTACTCCTTTACCCCAAGATCGAAACTACCAGGCCATCACCGAGTACTGGAGGTGATCCACAAAAGAATAAGGATAATATAGTCGCATGTGTAAAAGAACTAGTAAAAATGAGAGCCTTACACGCCATAGGTAAGCCACCTTTAATGAATCAACGTCGTCAAGCAAGAAGTGTCTTCTTTATTCACAAAATCATGTGAATTAAGTACATTTCTTAGGCGATAATCGAAGTTTGGCTTGTGAGAATTATCGTCTTGTTTCCTACGTAATCGAGCACATTTTCTGGGCAAATTTTGGTATATTCGTCATGCATTAGAGAGGTGTTTATTATATTATAATTTACATTTGTGTACCGTAACAGGGAAAGTCGATATACAGATGCAGGTGCTACGTTCTATGCCCCACCTCGAGTGTTCTACAATCGCGCTTTTGCAAAGTGAGCGGCTTCTCAAGAAGTGGGTTATTGACAAAAACCAGGTAGTATTAGACAGAATTGCCCAAGAGCATCCCTATCTCGGAGACGCTTTGAAAAAGGCGATGTTGTGCGTTATGTCGCAAGGTGTACCGGCACCAAAGCAGTCTGGCAACGCGTACTCGGTTGATGCTCTCAGCGAAGACTCGAGCGATGATGAAATGCAGGGTTATCAACAACAAGTGCCGAGGCCAGGTAAATGGACACTTAACCTACATTTCCTCTACTTACTAAATGCGCCGTTGCTGCTACCACTATGAGAAAAATCAGTTGCGATCTTATGACGGGAACTTGTTTAACAGAATAGATCGAATATCGATAACGAATCTTCCGCCATATTCAAAACGGAATATTATTTGCCCGCTTATTAGCATTCCATCTTACTGATTGATCTATCCCTTTCCCCAGACATTCAATTATATTTTAAATATACTACTAGATATAGATAAATTACAATAAAGAATACCAATTGTTAATTGAAAGCTTACTAATGCATCAATAATGCAATAAATCTTATATTAACCAAACATTATTAGTACTATAGTTAATAATAAATGGCTGGTAAGTCAAGTAAGCAACACTTATTCAATTTTTTTTTTATTCGGTTGCGCTATGTTTGTTTGGTGCAGGTGGATCGCGGTCGCAGTCCAGTGGTGTTAGAACCCCAGATCAGCAGACGGGCCGCTTAACTATCACCGACGAAATGCTGCAAGCTGCTCTTCAAACGACCTATTCAGAAAATCACGTAGCATCTCAAGCTTTTAGCTCCCAATTAGCCATCATGCGTGAGATGGGTCTAACTGATGAACGAGCATGTGTACGAGCCCTTGTCAGAACGGGCGGTGACGTCGATATGGCCGTTGACTTGCTTCTCAACGAATGAGAACGGGCGGTGACATCGATGTGGCCGTTGATTTGCTTCTCAACGAATGACTGAGCAAAACCGCCAAAATAAAACACCGGATGTCGGCAGTCCTAACCGGACTTCTCTACGGAGATCACCTCGTACAAAATCTGCTCAAAAAAAGTTTTCTAAGCCTTTAGTCTTGTCTAGGCGCCGTACAAAATGTACCACGCACTTTTTAGATTTTTTGATCAAAAAACAACTCCCGGTTTTTTTTTCCATGTACATATATTGCATCCATCGTGTTCTGCTAACATTTGTTTTCTGTATCTATTTATGACTTATGGTCCTTCAAGGGTCAGTAGTAATAATTGCATAGAGCGAAATAATTGAATCCTAATGAACGCCGGAGATAATAATTTTCAAAATAAACATTTTATCACACATACTCCCACACGCATATGTGGGAGCCTGTTTCTCCAAATTTTTACCATGCTAAACAATATAATACTGCACAATTTATCTGAACAATATAATAACTTATAAATTCACTAAAAGGTTCTTCACAACATTTTCAAGTTAGTAAAGACGCTACGTCAGTGATTTTGAATATTTTGTAACAAGTAAGCGTATTTAATGAGCGTCGATATTTGAAAGTATCGACGCAGAGTGTATATAGAGTGCGCAATAATAAAGCTGTTGCTCTAATTATAAATGAAGGAGAAGTAAAAAGAGCAAAATTACCAAATATGTATTTCTTTCTGACATAGGTGATTAAAAAAAGGATTTCGTCAGCGGAAATGACTACTAGGTGGGAATTTATATGATTATCTAACCACTCTGCTACTCATTATTACAACGTCTAGGTAGCTTAGATTCGCGTCGTTGGTTAGCTTTTATTATCATTGCTAGTGGGTACAACATTTATATTTTTCGTCAGCTCTTCTGGCCCCAAAAATGCCTATACACGTCATGCATACACTATAAACTTAATAAAAATTGTCGTATCGCTCGACGTATGTATTCCAGATACAACATTTATTCCTTATATATAATAAACCTTATATATAATAAAGATGAAATTCATAAGCACATAAGCACAAAATACTGGAAGCTATTGTTTCCTTACAAAATTACAAAGGCGCAATTATATCAAAAATGATTGCAAGTAGCTATACAATGATTTACAGCTGTGAATAACAGAAGTATACACAACTAGTAAACCTTGGCAAGTGCACCTAAAATATGGTAATAATTATACTCGGTTGCTATTCCATCAAATCTAATTGGTGTGATTGGGCGATAAAAGCCCTCAAGTGGCTTGTATTAAAAAAAAAACTACAATCACTGGGTAAAGTCCGCTATACATTTTAATAGCTTCTCTATTGTGTATAACCGACTCACACTATTTTGTATCTCTCTTATGGCCTCAAGATAAGGACAGGCAGCTCAAATAATAATATATTGTGGTATAGTGAGTAGATAAACCCAAATTCTGTTTCAGTAACCTGATCCAGTTCTACCAGTAGATCAATACTAGTAATAATAGTAGGAAACTAGATTTAGTTGTATTGAATTGCGAACTTTCAGAGAGTATATAACCTTTTGGGGCACGATGTCTTTGCATTAAAAGAGAACTTAATTTACTCAATAGTTAGTTTATTGAAGCATATTTTGTATACATTCGATATATGTACCTAAGGTATCCATGAATCCTAATGAACTTTCCAGTGGTTTCGCTGTTAAACTAACAGTAAACTGACCACGATAAAAGTCAACAACACCAACACCCACACACACAGAGGTCAATGGCCCATGGAACTGCAATATTTGACTATTTATAGCGATACATTGTTTACAGTAACTGTCACGCTATCGTTCACTCTTCGATTTTTCTGGTACATAGCGTGTAATCCATGCTTCAGATATATACATTATGCTTACCACTTATAATCATAAGCTACCTGCGGTAAGTGCTTTTCGTGCAAAACAGGAAGCCATTGTCATGTTATTAATGGTCGATTTGTTGTTGTTGTACGCTTCCGGAATCTCGGATCTTCTTAATTTCAGCATTGTTCTTCTCGGATTTTCTCTGACGTTGGCGCTTCCTTTTCTGGCGCTCGTGACTCAGCAAAGCCGATTCGTTGATTTCATCATCACTTTCTATGCCGCTTTCGGCTTCCTCCTTCATAAGGCCTGTACCCATTGATACGTCGATAGCCACAATACAACAGCAATCAGAACGCGTATGCGCTGGTATTAATTATACCTCATACTGTGTGAACTCAATCAATGTGCTATCAAATTGTTCAAGGTGCGCATACTAGATGAAATGAAAATATGATGTTTCTGCAGTCTGCGCAACGCTAAATACATAAATTCTACTTAAAGGAATAAACTCCTACGTACCCATACGGTTCCAGAGTTGATCATCGCTGTCGTTTCCGTCGTCAGGCTGAATCTTATTATCTTGATTGTCCTGTCCTTCTTCCACTGCCATTGCTTGCTCTTCTTCCACGCGTCGTTTTTCCTCCTCTTCTTCCTCCAGCCGAATTGAATGTTTTCCTCCAGCAGTTCTAAGTAAGAGCGAACTCAGACGGGATTTCAGATAGATCTTGGATAACAACAGATGTCTCTCAAAGTCGTGAACACGCAGAAATCGGTCGAGACTACACGACACGACATAAGGTTTTAATGGATGGACTTCGACTGCTCGTACCGAACCTGCGAACCCTTTAAAGCAGTGCACGATTCTTTGTTTGCGGATATCGAATAGGGCAACACGCCCGTGCGTATTGCCCACAAGGACACAACTTGGGTTTCGCTCACCGGCAAGCGATAGGCACGTTATAGGATATTCGTCAAACGGCATTTCAGCGACGGGTCTTCTTTGGCCACATTTTGTGTCATACACACGAATCTTATTGTAACCGGTTCCTACAACAACTTTCGAGTCTTCCCAGAAGCGTAAATCCGTCACCCAAACCGGCACCCTCAAATCAAGATGATCGTTCCGGACATTCTTAGCAACAAATACCGGCTTTTCCGTAGCATTCAAGTCCCACAACTTAAGCTCATTTTCTTTACCGCCTGTAGCGAAGATTTGCTCAGACGTTGGGTTTCGTCGCATACGAAAGATATTTGGTCCCACGTCGAGCTCAAGTTCCGGTATATGTTCGTCTATAATTTCCCGCGATGGCCGCCACACGCGAAACGCACCTGATTGAGAACAAGTTACAAGAGCATCACCCATCATCTCGAGACCTTTAATGGACCCTTCGCCAGCCTGGACATCGACTGTTTTAAGTAAGAGACCCGACTGGGCATCGTACGTTTTCACCACCTGTAAGTTATAAAGTAGAAAGCATAGTAAGTTGCACTGTCGCACCCAATCTTATCGGATTGTTATCTTATTGTATTTAAGACATCAGCAAAACATAAATCATAGCAACAAGATCTAGTTCTAGTTTAATGGTATTAGCCGGTACTAATTAACCTGTAAATCTGTACGATAACGATACAAAAAGCTAATTAAATTAACAAGTTAGGAGAATTTAACATTTATTGCATTTTGTAAAATCGTTTTCTTTGCACATTCACTTAAATTAGGCCGAACTTATGTATTAAGAAGTTCTTGTGCACTAGAGGCCATCCGCCGAGGTTCCATAAAAGCACACATCATAGGTTATGAAAATTGACGCTATCAGATCTGGGTCTAGAATGAATTATGAATCATTTTATTTGATGTAAATATTACAACAAAAGTCAGTAGGAACAAACCTGTTTTCGTAGCGCACAATGAATATGAGTCTCTTCGGTGTTAGCCCAAAGGAGTGCTGTGATCTCATAATCTCGATTTAAGTCAGCCGATTTGTTCAGATTAAGGAACATCTTTTTAGCCGTATTTACACCTTTCAAAAGACCTGTTTCTGCTCCGCAATACACGTGGTACATCGCTCCCGTTCCAGTGTTCATATTTTCTTCTTATTGTTAATGACAGGTGCACCTTCAAGCGGCGCACTATCAAGGAGAAGCTTCGTAATAACTTTTTAGAGCGGTAATTGTATTTTCCACAGCCACAGTTCACAACTTATGCGCGTATCTATCAGTATTATTTACCAATAGATTGCTGACCACGGCGCAGTGGATCGCGAGTGTTGGGCTACAAAACAGACTATCCGTCAATTTGGAAACGTGGTTCCGCGGATTAAGCGATTTGTCGTAAACACGGTGGTTTCATGCGCGACATCCTTAAACCGGACAGGCGAACAAAGAGCTATGTGGGCTGTGTTATCTTGTCATAAGAAGTTGCTTAAGGTGAGTTAGTCGGTGTACAAGTAACAAAAATTACTTCTCTCTTATTACCAAACTGAACGAATGACATAGTTAGTGCGGTCCGCTAGTGGAAAGCATAGGTATCTTTGAAAGGTTGAGCAAGGGCTCACCGTTATTGTAACGGACGTGATCGTGTGGCCTAATTAGGCACTCGAGAGGTTGACGACTAAAGTATGTCCAATATGTTGTAGAGTTTACAGTGCAATTGTTAAAATTGATAAATTAGGGCTGCAATTCGAAAGTGAACATAAAAAGGAGCATAGCGTTGTTCGTGTCTCAGTGGTCTAGCTAGATACGTATTCTGTAGGACATCGCCTATTTAATAAATGCTAAAAGCACATCTTGACGAACCTCAATCTGTTTTAGAACGGTGCCAAGCACAATATCAATAATTGTAAATTAGGCTGCAGTCCGCACCAAAGACTTATATTAAAACGTAGCGACAAACGGTATAGGCGGATAACGATAATCGATGTTATTACATTGACATTTTGTCTGCTTTCAAATTGCAGCCCATTGTGAATTATGATGCGGCCTTTGTTGCGGGTAATTTCGCCCATTTCTATTATCCAGCTGCCGTCAACGAGAACCAGCCAAACAAAGGCTAGTCCCCTATTATCAGCACTGGAAAATAAAATCTATGATATGATTCGGATGAAAAAAGAAACGATGTCTTGGACCGACCTGCGAGAGAACGAATTTCCTCGCCTTGTCAAGGAGCTATTGATAAATACAAGTTGTCGTCCTTCCCCTAGCATCATCGGGGCTCAATCTTTTACAAACTTGGTAATCAGGGCACTTGCAAAGAATGGCCAATCAGCACTGCTTTCCGAATTTGTGCAGGAACACGGTATAGAAAGATTATCTGTCAACCAACTTGCATTTTACATTGGGCATTGTAATAAAACTGAAGAAATTGTAAAGACCTGGCATTATCTCAAAGGACGAAACGGCACTCTGTTTGATGCAGCTTCTACTACGCATCTTATTGAAGGCTTGTGCCAAACGAGCCACTGGAGGGAAGTTGTTCCGCTAATTAATAATTTGACCGAGATCGAAGGAACGCCAATCAACGCTCTTAGGCGTTTTATAAGGAAATTGTTCGAAGTGGGAGAAATTGATGAAGCACTAAAATGGTTCTACGAGCTGTACACGAGAAACCCAGGGGCGCCGGGACGTGAGTGCGAACCAGCTCTTGCGAAATTAGACAGTGCATGTCGTATTTTCGAAATGGCCGCTAGCATGTACTTACAGTTTGACAAAGATTTTTTTCTTAGTCCAGCATGGGAACCATTATTTGATGTCAAGCTCACCTCGATTACATATCCCTCGAGGTGCCCTAAATGCAAAACTAGGTTGCTGCCACCACAGGAAATCCGCAACGACGATTTGCAAAAGCTTCGTAAGGCCGTGAAAACGCAACTTATAAAACAAGGTGATAACCTATTTGAAACAACGACACCAGCTGAACTTGCTCATTTTGAAGAATTTATGGGACGACACGGCCCCTTCGACGTTGTATTAGACGGACTAAACATCGGCTATAGGTTTGGCGAGAAGGCGCTCGCAGTGGAAGCACGACGCCTTGCAACACAGGAGAAAAAGCGCGTACTTGTAATGGGACGTCGGCATATGAACCGCTGGCCAGCCGTGAAGAATCTGCCTCGTGGTGTCTTATTGTACACGATGGAGAACATTAGCAATGATGATCCGTTTATGTTTTTGGCATGTCTATACAGCAACGTTCACTGTACAATAGTGAGTTCAGACCACTTTCGGGATCATAAGTTTAAACTTAGCCCCAGATACAAGAACGAGAAGGACAACTGCGCAGCTGTTATCGAGATTACTCGATTATTCACACGTTGGTTGAACACCCGACATAGACAAGTGGGCCAGCCGCCCCTGAAGCATGACATGGTGGCCCAAAAGGACCCCGGAGGTTGGCATCTTCCCATACTTAAGAATGCGGAAGGAATTCAAGGCCAACTTCAACCTAATCTCTGGGCTTGTGTGCGATACAAAAGATCTTAATTATATTTCGCACTGTTCATGTGAAAAATAATCTGGATAAGCTTATATAATTTATATTAAACTGGATATATATATAAAGTGTTCTACTGTTTTGAAATAAATTTTAAATTTAGCTCTGACGGTATATGTATTTACAATATTTTACTGTATAAATCATGGTGTAGATATAAAAACGAGTATACAAACGAATATTAAAAAAATAAATATAGATCTTAAAGTACACAATTATTAACCCAGTATACATTGCATTACGCTTGCAAATTTTGCTCAGCCGATTCTATTTATATTTATATATCAGTAATAATAACCAATAACTATTATTACCATTTATTAAGAAATCTTATAGGAATAATATGTACCTGTATCTTAATAATAATCTACTGTTGATCTGTACTACTATCCCAATACCCAGAGTGGTGCTAACACCGTCCTGGATTACCTCCTGGTAATTCAAGGTGAATATGTTGCCTCACCAAAGTTGTTCATCTTGGCTTGAAGTCACTTCCTTAGTTTCGCTTATTCCCTAATTCTTCGGCCGAATTATGGGAAATGAACTCAAGTACACACTTATTATAAAAGCTTATTATTATTAATATATATATATACATTAAAAAAAAAAAGTAAGTACCCGAAAGCTAAAATAAAGTATCTTATAAAAGAAGTTTGTTGAAAGTTTTGTTGTTTGAAGACAACATCTGTCGCTATGGCGTAAGTGCTCAATTGATTTTACAGCTCTCATGAAGCACCTTGGCACATCTTAGCGGAGACCGACTTCGTTTTCCGTAAGCATATTTCATGTAGATTTGTATGGATTAGGAAGTCCATAGACTTCGCCACTTGTTTAATAACAGCTTCGGAGTTTCAGGAGTATGATCTGCTAATACCGACCGTTGTCCAGGCTCATATGTGGGCCTTATTTCAGATACCTTGCAGGATCGTTCTGTGTAACGTTTACGTACAGGAATGTCACATACCCATTTTTAGGGCTGGGCATTACCTACCGTGCTTTTAAAAAATAAGAGTGATCATAAAAAGCCATCAGGTCCACGTCATATTAAGACAAAATAAACTAGTGCTATAGCCTCCTGGTCTTATTTTCAGTCGACTGTTTCTTAAAGTTTAAGAGAATCGTTAGGTTCTTTCGACGAAGCAACGCGTCTCTTGATCCAATGCTCATCTTAGCTTTATACGTTTGCAACACACGCAATACGCTCTGCACTGACGAGTCGTATTTGTGGTTTACCTAAGCAGCATTTAGCACTGTACCAGGCGATGACATCCTTTTTAAACTCAGTGCGGTCAGTGCTCTGACAATTATGCAATTTAGATGGCAAACGAAAGATATAAATGCGCCTATGGTTTGCAATTTCAAAGGTTCCTTCATGATACGTTTGCCGCCTATTTTTAGGTCTTATTTTAGATTGCGAAATTATGTCCATTTACTATATGATGTTTTTCGTTATCTCCTTATCGACTTTGCTAAGTAGATTTTTGTCTCTTTTTGATTTACGTTTTCAGAGTCTTGGTTATCAATGGCGTCATGTGGGGCAACACCGCTTTTTCCTAATGGGACATAGGCATGTTGCGGCCCGTGAGGTATCGATTGCTAAAAAAGATGGCTTGCAATTGAGCAACAACGTACAGATGGTCTATAAATCGACGTATCAAACCTACTTAAATATATCGGCATTTGCCGCAGCATTCCTGTGCTGTAATGTATTTGTGCGCGTGCTACAGTATCTGGAAATCGGTATTGAAAGATTATCTATTTACTGAAACATTATTCCAAGTTCTTCTTTATCTTAAGGCGTGTTTAATAACACATGTTAAAAAACTTGCTTTCGGGATAACACGTTATTATATTGGATCTATATATATATCATCGGTAGTCTCTTTTAGACTTTAAAAGTCTTATTCACAATGTCAGCATTTTATTTAAAACGTGTCTAACAAAATATATTTTTTGCACTCATGCACTTAGGTACAGATTATTTTATTTACTTCTGTATTAATTATATGTAATTTATTGGGTATTTGTTAGTGAAATACTATAAGATCTAAGCTGTTTTTTGTAATCTTTCGTGCTATAAAATTCTGATGGACCAACTCAGTCTATAGTAGCTTTCATTTCATTCCTTTTGTGCGCGCTCATTGTTGTCAAATCCGTTATAAATGCCTTGCAGTTTTTTTAGCGTGACTATATTCAGTATAATTTTACAATTGCTAATGTCTAGAGATACTGTAACCTAGGTTAGTTAGAAGAAAGGCATTTGACCTATAAGCATGTTATACGAGAGTCGATTGTAATATGTGGAGGTTTGGGCATCGGGCAACACACATCTACGACCTTATCATCAATGGATCCATTGTCACCTAGTTTAGTGAATTTTTTTGATTGACCAGAATCAGATCTGCCACTATTTACGAGTATCAACTGAATCAAACAACAAGTGCCACTAGCGCATCCAAGCTAAAGAAGGCCGTAGGGAGTGCGTCTCGAATTCGACTCCGTAAGCAGTACACGGCAAAATAAACCTGTTTTTAAGATCGCAACCAATACACAATACAATACAATAGTGTATTCTACGTTAGGGCAGTAATAACTGTAATCATATCTATATTTATTTTGCAGATGTAGCTACGCCCATGCGGAACTGCCTTATTCAATTCTATGAAATTTTACCGACGGAGTATATCCAAAATTCACCACACCAGAAGAAGAACAAAGCAAAAAAGTTGAAAGATTTTACAGAAACAGAAAAAAAACTTGCTGAAGTGTTTTTCATGTGTATGATCATAGTGTTTGTTTTTTTCAACAAGATGTGTCCTGTCCGTATGTACTATGATCACAAGCAGAAGATGTACACTTTAGTACATATCAGTCCACTCATACCTTTTGTAAGTAGGTAGGCACATATAAATACATACAGATGCTGTAAAATATAATACGGAATGCTTTAAAATGATGCGACAAATCATTTAAATAAATATCCATATATGTTTAGGTATAACGAAGCACAAGTCGTAAGTACAGTACGTTAAAGACGACTTAAGCTTTTCATTCACACTCAAATGACTTGCGATCCATTTAATACAATAGTGTAGTGACATTTAATAACCCAAAAAACAAATTAGGGGATCGTTACCATTTGAGTAAATACTTTTTATTTTGAGTTTAAGCTTACCAAAATGAAATGTTAAAACTGACTTTATTATTTTTTTTTATATCGATTGATGAAACATGTGCTATGTATGAAGATCTGTTCTGTAAACTCGAAAATTCAAAACGACCGACGATCTAAAAGAGGAAGTCCTCGATGTTATTAACGCATAGCTCAGAATTGGTACATTTTTTTTAAAAAGGAGACCTTGAGCTCGACTTCTAGCTACGACTTTTGACGACATCTATGATTTTGATTTGCGAATGAAGGCAGAGATATTTTGTTAAAAAAAGCTGGCACATAACCGATGTGCCAGGCGGGTGTGTATATCGAGAAATACGTAAAGCCTTAAAAAATTGAACGCGTTATGAGCTGGCGATCGTCATTTACATGCTAAATTTATTTAATGAAAAAGTACTAGAGTCTTTTTGATTTATTGATCACATTGATCAATGGCATCGTAGTCCGTTTTTGGAAATGTGGTACTATAAACTTCCTAAACATTAGGTAAGGGCGATTGAAAGTATTAACAACACATCATATAGTAAGTACTCCTAGATGAAAAGCAACGCTCTACTAGGTGATTTGTCAAAAATTCCTGTGGACCATTTATCCACTAGGTCATTGTGCTTTGAACCTATTTTTTTTTTTTTCGGTAGAGTTGATACCTCTCACTACCATTCCTAGGGAGAACTACGCCTTGTATTAAATTCATGAACAAGCTATATTGTATTAGTCGGCATAGCCAGCAGTATTAAATGCTGTACACGCCGGCACAGAAACGCAACAAATATTTGCTAGGAACATTTTTGAATATCCGATTTGATCAATTTTTTTTTCTGTTAGTTTTTTGGATCTGAGATATCGATAATCTGATAACAGATTTACTGCAATTTATCTTCTGCAGATGTTTCTCTCTTCTGTTGTAGTCGAAAGTACACAATCACGTAGTACCTAAACTTTATTTAGAATAATACTAACGCCTACATAAGCGACAAACTTGACAATTTGTTTACATAATCCATTTTGGTGCCATGGTACCTCATGCACGTGTCTTAATATCAAGATCATAGTTTCTCTTACGTTAATATACTGTATGTATTCGGTTGAATTAAAATATTTCGTCCGGCAGATATGGAGAGGATTTCAAATAAAAAAACAATAAACAAGTCAGAACGGGCTTTACATGAACAGCCTTACGTATCTACTGTAAGACCTCTATGTTTTTTTCGCCGTCCTTCTCTTGTGGTACACAACCCACTGAATATCTTCAGCGCGTAATATCAAATTAAGCTATTGTTAAAATTTTCGCATTTTCTTATACAGCAGCGATTGTGAGGTTACAACGTTTATGGCAGGGGGTTACGGGGAGACTCTGTACAGTTATTGTAAACGTAAATTGTAGCAATTTTTCAATTTGTTGCAAACGTGTCATAAATAGATTTTTTCCAAATAAAATTTCCAGCGTCGAATACGGACCGCGGTTCCACCTGGAGGCGTTTATCCAACTGGGAAGCTTCTTCCGAACTCAAGAATTCGAGGTGTCTTATGGCCGCAACAGATAGAACCAGATGCTATGCGCAACAAAATTCATTACAACGTTTTGTTCGGGTATCAAAAGCCCGAGAGTATACAACCAGAGCTATTTTAGTTGATTTATGATAAAAACAGCTATTGTTTATCCTATTTTATTGAGGAATAACACTGTGTAGTAACGCGAATTCTGATAGTTACAATCATATATGAATAAATCTTATAATACGTCTGTGCAAAGAGTCTTCAATGACGTTATGCATAAATGTGTCAAACGTGTTGGGTACTCTTCTGTTGAGTGGTTCCCAACTGTCGAATTTTAACGAAAGTGTTTTGTGTATGTCTGGAAAATCATCTATAGCGCTAGCTAATCTCTTTTGTTATAACATCTCATTTTCCTTAAAGACAGTCGTTACTCTTAAAGGTCTATTTCATACGTGTATATGTTGATCCTGATGAAATGCAAAACTTTGCTTCCAGTACTACTTAATGAGCGATACTTATATTGCCGGTTCTGCAATCAATTAGCATGCAATGACAGGCTACGCTATATATAAAAGAATCGGACTTTATCTGAATAACTAATTTTACTTATCTTTCGGTAATGAAGAGAATAGAACACTGAAGTCATCTTTAGTCGTGATGTTTTACCACTCTGTTGTTTTTCAACGGTAATTAGGTACCTGATATTAGATAAATACGTACCAATGTTCGGTCCATCTAAATATGCTTACGATCCGACTCTATTATATAAGGTAGATTCTAATTAATTATAGTTAAATAAAGCAATGGCAACACATAACAACTTGCCTCTCATTATTGTTTAAATTGGACTTTTGGGCTCGATGGAGTGGGCAGCTAAGCTAACACGCAGAAATGATGTATCGAAATAAACATTAATATGCAGCTTTACTCCTTGGACATAACAATAAACGTTCATCCACCGTTACCCAAAACCAACTTAAGTATTTTTTATAATTATGTGGCCATTATGCTGACAATATTAAGTCCATAGACACCGTTTCTTTAATACACTAACTGAGAAAAAAACTTCTTAAGCAGGGGAGAACAAATGATCATATTTTTTCGCTTCAATGTAGCAGAACTTTTAATGCACGGTAGCCTATCGATCTGAGAAGTTGTTGTTGTACACTGCTTCAGAATCAATAGATACTGAAAATTAATCATGCGAAAAGCTGCGTGAAATAAATAGTAATAATTGGAAGAGTTACGTGAAGTAGGAATCTTCGATTTTATAGAACATCGTGCGCTTTAACTGTTTACGTCTACGAAATCCTAATTCAGACGTATCGTTCTGTACCTATGGAGCACCACGATACGGTTCAGGTATATGTCTACTCTTCCTTGCCTAGTGCAATCGATTCACATGCGGACCTAGAAGGTTTATATAAAATGCAGCCTTTGATAATAAGATTTTACAATGTGTTTTGTATTAACACCTAATTTCACGAATCTGTTGTAGGTTTCTCATAATTGATGGAACAGCCTAGGAGTAACCCACTGGTACCGAGCCGGATCATTATAGGATCGATTGAACCTTCTACGCCTTTCTGCGATGTTGGCGCCAAAGCTTCAACATTCTAAGTAAACAGAAGTTTACTACGTAAGTCCGGTTGCTAAGTATCTATCCAGTTTAGAGCAGTTAAGAACTCAATAGAAATAGTGTAAAATGCAAGATTTGGTTAAAAAACCTCTTAAGGAGGTAGACAGTATTTTCAAGGCTTGTAAGTATGATTCTGAAAAAACTGTCGAGACGGTGCTCGAGTTCTTCAAGAAACAGCTAGACTGTTCTACTAAAGACCTACTTAAGGTAGGTTCTTATTTTTATCACGTTTATTTTACTTCTGTACTCAGTGTAATAAGAAAACATAAAGAGTAGAGCTTTGAGTGAATATTTCTAGATAAATAAATCCTTTTGATTCTTTTATATTCTGCAAAGATGCCATTTTATTTACAATACGATTGCTAACAGATTTCTTACTTATTGAATAACTTGTAACCAGTATCGCAGGTAATTGTTAACTGTTGCTTCTTGTTTTCATCTGTCTTCTGCACTCTACACTTTGTTTATACAGAATAGATTACAAGCATACAATCAATATAACGTCTGTAATACAAAATAAAAAAAAATGTTATCATTCGCATCATTACGTGTTCACGAATTTTCTTGTTACCCCAATATAATTCAAATAGAGTACAATACAGTAATTTTAATGAAAAATAAAATGTATTGGCAATAAATGAAAACACCATGCACAACATTTGTAGCAGTGTGCTTTAGTCACAAAGTTGTTTCTTTCCAGTACCGCGAACTAACCATGGCATTCACCCATAAAGGTACGACGAGTGTGTATATATCATAATCGAGCTCTACAATATCTGTTGTGGCCTTTTTATGAAGAATTAAATGGATGCACAAGTGCCACCAGGCAAAACTCGCAAAGTGTTTAATTTTGTCGATGTCTATAAATAATAAATACGACGCCGTATTAAATATAAAAATTAGTTGGCCGGTTAGCTCTGTGAAGACTAGAAGCAGCCATCGTTTTCATTCAACTCATCAATGCGATATCTAAACATATAAGAATATACAGTGATATGAATCAGTGATTAACGTGAAATGTATTTGTATATCACAGGTTAATGCCAAACTGTTCCGAGCACATAAGGCAACTAGCTAATACTCATAGGCTCCGACCTGTATGATGGCGGTTATAACTTAGTAATGAAACACAATTATCGTTTATAGCTTTGAACCTCTTAGCTGTCATAGATATTAAAAAAAAGTTTCAAGCCTATGCTTAACTTTTTTGGATCTCTATTACTGCTCTTGCCTTCCTTCCCAGTTATTATACAATGTCAATTTTCGATAACGTTCGTACAATAATTGCTTTTATAATTGAAAAAAATTATTCCGTCCAGTAAAGGAAGAAACGTACACGTAACTATGTGTTTCTGTACACTAATAACTGTTTAGTGTTACCTTAATATGACGAAAAAGGATAGAAAAATTATTTTTTTAGGTGTACAGAAGAAGACTTAAACATTCTGAGTCATCGCAGTGTTTGGGATGAGCACATCATTCTTTGTTCGATTGTTGTGTTCATTACAGGTGCCTTCCCTGAACGACATCCCTCAGGACCAGTTGAGGGTGGGACAACTTGTGCGCTTCAGGTGCATGATTCAAGACATGTATGATCCTGAATACTTCATGCCGGCATACCGTAAAGACGACGCTGTAATAACTTCACTCTTTAGAGATCCGTTTGACGAAGACTTTGGGGATGAGATTGTGGATTCGCGGCCAATGGACCGATCTACTTGGCATTGCATAGCCATACCAGCTGAGAACGAGTGGGTTATCAACGGTTACCATCAGGCCTTTATTGCCCTCACCACGAGCAAGAGTGTGGATATAGATATGGCGACGAATCAAAATGAAGAGGTTCCAAAGAAGAAAAGCAGGTTCCAACATGGAGAAGTAAACGAAGCGGGTCATCTTAGACCAAACTGCTTTCCATTACCCACTCATCAGAAGTCATGCATTGTAAAGGTATACATGGACAATGCGAATATACGGCTCAACGACGTCATTGAGGTTATAGGAATCTTATCGCATTTTCCAGAAAAAACCGATGAAAACCAAGCAGAAACTGCTCCTTTCGGTTCTGACGAATATTATTTCAAGAATCCCCCTAGCTCACTCGTGCCACGAGTACACGCTGTATTTTGTAAGAAAATTACCCACCAGAATCCGCTCCTTGGTTACTACGTCGAGGAAGAAAGTGCCATCGTCCGTCGAAGAGTTTTAGAAGAGGCACCTAAATGGCGAAGTGAGTTTTTGTCTATTCTGAAGCAAGTTTTTCTTGGCGACGAGCAAACTGCTGAATACGTTCTTTTGCATCTGATATCGAGAGTCTACGTGCGACATGATGTTTTGCCTCTTGGAAAATTTTCATTGAATCTACGAAACGTTGCCGGTGAACAAGCGAAGCTCCTCGCTGAGTTGCTTTCACAGCTCGTAACTAAAAGTCATCTGGTGCCAATGTCATTGGAATTTCTCAACGGAACAAAGTTTATTCCCAGCAAAGATTATGACCTGAACCGGCTTAAATCCGGGCTTTTGCAATTGTCTGATGGCACACATATCATATGTGACGAAAATGCACTTGAATCTGGTCAGCTAAATGCTATAGGTGTCGAAAATGTGAAGGCGTTAGGTAACATGATTCAAAATCAGTCTGTTCAGTATAATTTCGGGTTCCATCAAATGGAATTCTATACGGACGTGCCAGTGTTATACGTGTCCCAAGGCAAAGGTCTAATTCGTTGTGATTTTCAAGTAAAGTTACAGCCCACTCAGTCACTTGACAAATTGTCTGAAGTGGCATCTACACTTAAAGAACATCTTACAGAGGAGTTGCTGACTAATCTCCGTCGGTACGTCACCATAATGAAAATTTCGGATCAGAGACTCAGCGAAGATATGCAAAAAGCAGTACAAGAAGATTTCGTTGCTATGAGGACTGCCAATTCGACCATGACTGCGGATGATCTTCACAACTTGCTCGTCGTGGCTAGGTACGTGGCATTGTCGAAAGGCGAACTGGACCTTAGTCCTGAATCATGGATCCATGCTAAAGAGCTTGAAGCTGAGCGTCTTGCTAGGTGTACTCAGAATTGGCAGACAGCTTGAAAAAGCGAAAAGAACTTATAACTTATCATTGGGTAGATATGTTAGACACTCAAGTAGTCATTTGTATGCCGGTTTCTAGTTGTTCTGGGAAATTTCTATGTAAATATATATTATATGCACAAACGATTCGTGTGTTTATTCAGTTATGTCATATTTACCATTCACGTACATCAGAACTCAACTGAACTATTCGTGCGTTATTAAATTTCAGAACAGGTATATGTTTGAAAATAAACAATTTATAACAATAAAACCCTTTCACGGGCCAGTGGAACATATGGTGCAGATTTGCAGAGAGCCATTTGGTTAACTTCTACAATATAGTGGTACTATAAGGATCTATAAAATTTATGTGTCTTCGAGAAACATACGTTTGTTCAAAATACCAATAGTACAGGGGAATGCGATTCTTTTTTAGTGTTAAAAAGAAACTACAACTTGAACTGAACATTTTCATTATAAGGGATTCGTGTTTCGCGTTTCCACTGCATTCCTATAATTTGGTTCAAGGCTAGCGAGTTTAAAGGGCTAGATTGCACGACCTATACCCACAATACTATTAAAGGGCGGAACCTTCTTCGTTTTCTAAGGGACATTCGTGCATTAAGACAGTGGACGCGACAAGCGGAGCTGACCACATTGAATAAAGTGGGTGGTTGCCTATCATGAGAGGGTTGCCAGGACGCTATAGAACACATAGGACAGGCTAATTTAGAGCGACCGATGATTAATAGCCCGGTTGCAGGCGTCGACGGCTTAAAGAACCCCAGTACGACAGGGATGGGAGAGGCATGCATGGCAAGCATAGAAGGAAGTGCAATCTTTCGTTGCAATAGATCTTTGGGGTCAGTTAGGCCTATGAGGAATTGTGGCCAGTCAAAAACTGAACTCCTTTGTGAACCAGATTCTTATTTTTGTCAGTTTCGTCGTCGTCTTCGTTGTTAAGTGTTCTAACTTGAACGCGCATACGAGCACCAGAAACGACAGCAGGAAAATGCTGCAGGCCTTTTGAAGTTGACCACTGTATTTATTGTGAGTCGCAACGAGCGCTCTGTACAGAAGCGTCTTGCATCACTTATGTCTCCTTGGTTTCTTAGTGGCAGGAGTATCACTATACAGTCTGTCTTCCAATGGAAGCCTCGGTGGCTTGTAGTATTTACTTTAAAAGAGAAGACCAAAGAGGAAAATAGAAGGCCGCGCTGAAATCACACGCCTTCAAACGGATGCGGCTGACCGTACTGAAGCGCTGACTTCACCAGTAGGGTGGGTCGAGTCACCAAGTCCCAATCTGTGCTGTTTTCTTTTACAATCCCAAGGTTGAAACTATATATATGGTTTCTGTCTGTATGTGTGTTAGTGTGCTTGTAGGGCAGCCTCAGTATAGCTCTCTTGGTCTCTCATCATCATTGACATCATCAACATCAATTTTCCACAACGGAAGCTGAATTAGACTGGTTGGTTCAATGAAGAAATGGGCCGAATGAATGATTGTCCTCGAGAGTCTCCCATATTTGAAGCGGTCGCGCCGTACAAGTAGGACGTTCTTCACATCCATCGAGAGCAGAACGGTTGGTGAGATTGTAATAGGTGGGATTGGGGGAAACGAGTCAACGATAGGTGAGCCCTACTGTAGGTAGGACAGCAGCGCATCTCTCCCATGTCTGGCGGCACGATGCGTCTGTGTTATTGTCCTATCAATGGAATCGGCTTCAAAATAGGTCCGCTGCTAGAAGAATCGGAGGGGACGCGGTCGGAATGCGTTGGTCTGGATAGGAAGTCTAAGTGGTAGGGGAGTACAGGATGACTGTACAACCAGTCGACCAAGCCATTGAGAGGCCAACAAGCATGCGGCGGGCTGTCTGTTCATTCAATATTGCCGACAAAGCGAGAACAAATAACCTCATAGACAAACAATATACGAAAAGGAGCGGAGGCCAAATGCTAATTAGGGTTGCATTGTTGCATTGCAGCTTCAGAACAGTACTTCAAGGAGAACAATGAATAGAAACATCACAAGATGTACAACAACTGTTCGACAAGTCGGAACTAGCGCATAGTAACTTTGATAAATAAACGCACAAGTTATACGCTTTTGTGCTGCTGGAAATTATTCCGACTTATTTTTACTTTTTTTTTGTTTTTACAGCTCTTATTATTGTTATCTATTAAGAACTATGTAACTCTTCGAACTGTTGGTGCAGTGTTTCGAGAACAAACGTGAGGGCCATTGAACCATTAATGGGTGTATTTTTAGCAAATATTTATATAAATTTCAATTCTGCGGTTATGAGCTCTTTGTTAGCTAGAAACGTGCAAAATATTGCATCTGTGAGCATGGATAAGAGTTCCACTAGTAATGATGTTTAGATTAGAACTAGCAGAACGTACCTATCTACAAATAATGAACATAACTAAGCCATAAAAAGTATTACTTTCAAACTATTTTATTAATTATAGGGAAAAATCAATCGAATTTTCTAATATTTAACGGAGTCGATCTAACATATTCCATCAGGCTTTTCTCGTGGGTTCTACAGGTAAACACAGGCTTAAGGAAAGAATTACACTAGTAACATTTACCCAATAATTTTTTCATTGTATACTTTTCTGTCAGAAACTTGTGTAAGATTGCTGTTATTATAAGAGATTTGACAAATGAAAGGAACCTAGACAGATATATGTATAAACAATTTTTCCCAAACTGGACTCATGAGGTCCAATTTGTTTAATGTGTAATTTTTTCTAATTTACTTGGTTTAATCCGACTTCCATGGCTTAGTCTGCTGCTTGCGCGAGAAGAGCCGATGTACTGAAGTTGGCGAGAAGCGCACCACGAGAGGCAGTTGCAGTCGCCCCTTGGGGGTCGGATCAGGGTCAGTCGGATTGTTGCAGGATATAAGGGAGCGTCAATCTCCAATCTCCTTCCTTATTTCCCTTTGCGTCTACTGCTCCTATTCCGCGACTGGCGTTCTTGCTTTCCCGAGATCCTCTCTTTTTTTGCGCTTTGACTATCACCAATCTGTGATTTGTGTACAGGGTGACGGCACATGGGGCCGCCCCACTGGAGCTGCCCTACTGGGGCTGTTCGTCCTAGCCGAGTTGGCTCGCGCACGTTCGCGATGTCTACTGGGATTTGACTACATCCCGATTTTCCTACGCGGTGCATTACTGTGCCTGAAGTGCAACTTCTGTTTCAGAGAAGGGAATTCCCGTTTGCCTCAGCTTCTTTTCTCTCTTCCCATCTTCCTTCGGCCGCATACCCTTCCCGCCAGCCATTAATAACCTCCGCCGATGAGAGAACGCTTGTACTATACTAAGTATAATGGTTGCACTTAAACTTAACTCAGCCAGTGGTCACTTATTGTAGCTTTCATTATTCTCTCTCTTAAGCAGTTTTTGTTTTGTCTGGCTACGCTTGGAGAATGGCGAAAAACGGCCATTTTGATCTAACGAATAACGATAGTTCAAACTTGAATTTGTTCCTGTTTCTGAGTGTCTACACACATTATTCCAAGTGCCAGCGATTCACGAAGAACTCTTGCAATTAATTTTGAAGGGCTACACCTAGACCATTCGATTAGTTTGTTTTAGATGATTCAAGGACTTCCTGAGAAGCTCTTCTCTTGTAGTCGAACAAAAAAATCTTTATTTACGGTATTAAAGAAGCTGTTGATGCAAAAGTGTGGCTGTTTTTGAATAATTTTAGCTGTAAAAAAAACAAATTTTACTGTCAGATTTGTACTAACTGTGTCTTTTTTGTCAAATCTGAAAGCAAGTAAATGTTGAGTATATTTTTTAACTATCAATACTGTCAGCACTCAAACACGAAAGGCAGTCTTAGTGAGTGCCATGGAGCCAGACTTTAACACATAGCTCGGAAATGTGGTTAAACTGTTGTACCTACCTGATAAACCGTCAGTCACTCTAAGTGTCACACTGAACTCCAGCTCACAATTCTTGAGCTACAATCGAATTTGTTAAGAAGGAATCACCAGAAATCGCGAAGAAATTTTGGCGCACCTGTAACCTTCATCAGGTTAGCGAAAACGCTTCCAGGCCGGGAAGTTACTGAAATACAAAACCAATACAGAGGTTTGCTATAATGCTTGTTTAAATTATTGGATTATAGCCCTGTTTATGGCAAGTATTTAATGTCTCCGAACTTAAGCTTCCTCTCGTAACTTCTAAGAAGAATTACAAAGACTTTTTTACACGTATGGCTACACTTGCGCGTTAAATGTGCAAGCCAAGTCAAATCGTAATTTATTATGGATTGGGGATTACAAAGTACGGTTGCCGACTATGATCTATAACGGGAATATGTTGTACAATATACGGTAAACTCAGTAAATTAGCCATATTTATTATATTATATATACCTGCATCTACTACAATCTATTATGCTACCTCGTTACGTAGCATTTGCCTACGAAACGTGGAAGCAGCACGCGCAAAGCAAACGAATGCTTACGTTTGCTGTGCATTTATTGATAGTTTTGCCTGTCACGACTACCGTGGCTCTCAGTCCACTGCGATAGTATTCCAACGTTTCCCTCACGAACTCTTACCATTCGCAGTTCCTAGTCTTATTTATTCTCAGTGTACCCATCTATCTTGTAGGACTCATTTATGCTCCTTCACAATGCTGAGCAACGGAAAAAACCTGCTGATCCTATGACATCCGTTCGGAGCCCCCAACTGAAATGGTTAAACTGGCGTTGAGCTAGCGGTGATGTTTGCCGAGGCCAATCCGCGGGTCTCTCGGCCTGGATGGAACGTGATGCCTGCTTTATCCTGGGACCACCAGCAGAATTAGCAACAAAACCAAAACTTTCGAACGGTATCTCGGCATCGACAAAAGTGTAACCCTCCCGGTTATGCGAGTAACTTACACTCCGCTCGTATGGTGGCCAACACGCCATTGGTTGTATCTTAAGCTGGCAAATTTTACCGCTGTAGTTCGGTGATCTAGTTTACGAGTGCCAGTCGTAACAGCAATACATAGATGATAGCTGAAAGTGTACAGATCAGAGCAGAAGAAGAGAAGTTGGCGATCGTGTTGAGATTTTAAATTTGGACGGGGCCATGCTATTCGACTCTGAAAAGAACACGAGGGTGTAAAAAGA